GCTTTTGGTTCTTCAGTTACGTTTTCTTTTGTTTTTATTCCGAACATTATTCCCAATTTTTCCGTAAAAGATGTCCTCTTTACTTGAGAGTCTTCTTTCACCGTTTCTTCGGTGTTGCCTATTGCATCTTCCGCGTCATCTATCGGTGAGAACTCTATGGGTTTCTGGTTCGGTTCCTCTGCATTGGGCATTGGAGTTGACTCTGTCGCCATCTTCCTTGTTTCATCCACACTTTGATCGGGTGTCTCTAGATCAATCTCGATGGTGGGTTCTACTCGCTCCCCTTCCGTGCCCTCTTTCGCCCTGTTCTCCGCTGTACTCCTTGTGCTGACCATGTTAACTGAAAAGTTCGTCTTCGTTATCTTTGGGCCCGTTGATGTCGTTCCGCGCAGCGATGAATTATATTTCGTGTTGGATCCACTTGACCTTTTTTCGAGCACCGGTACCCTACTCCGCCTCATTATTTCTATTTACAACTGCTTCTATTTACAATTTTATTATATACACGATTCTATTCTAAGGGTAAAAAAAATTATTTTTTGTGGTAACAAATTCTGTACAACGTGTTAAAAACCTTATCCAATTCTCTTTCTAAAACCTCCGAAAAATTTTCCTTAATTTGGTCTTAACCCTACCTATTTCGATTTGTCTTATTCTGTCTTAAAACGCACTTGTTGTAATTTGACTTCAATTTCTATACCGTCCCAAGACTATTCGTCACTATCACAGTACTCTCCGTTAGTGTCCTAAGACCCTTGTACCAAGGCTAGTGTCCCAAGACTACTGTCCCAAGGGTAGTGTCCCAAGACCAGTGTCCCAAGACTACTGTCCCAAGACTAGTGTCCCAAGGCTAGTGTCCCAAGACTACTGTCCCAAGACTAGTGTCCCAAGGGTAGTGTCCCAAGACCAGTGTCCCAAGGCTGGCGTCCCAAGACTAGTGCCCCAAGACTAGTGTCCCAAGGGTAGTGTCCCAAGACCAGTGTCCCAAGGCTGGTGTCCCAAGACTAGTGTCCCAAGACTAGTGTCCCAAGACCACTGTCCCAAGACTGTCCCAAGACCACTGTCCCAAGACCCTGTCCCAAGACCACTGTCCCAAGACCCCTGTCCCAAGACCCTGTCCCAACACCACTGTCCCAAGACCCTGTCCCAAGACCCTGTCCCAAGACCCTGTCCCAAGACCACTGTCCCAAGACCACTGTCCCAAGACCCTGTCCCAAGACCACTGTCCCAAGACCCTGTCCCAAGACCCTGTCCCAAGACCACTGTCCCAAGACCACTGTCCCAAGACCCTGTCCCAAGACCACTGTCCCAAGACCCTGTCCCAAGACCACTGTCCCAAGACCCTGTCCCAAGACCACTATCCCAAGACTGCTCTGTCCCAAGAGTTCTTCGGTCTTGTCCCAATACTCGTCACGGAGTGTCTTCCTCGTTGTAGGGTCTTCTTGAACCACCGTACCTTGTACCACCACTCAAGCTCTAGTAAAATTTTCCCAAAAACCCTCTCTTAAAAGCCAAATGCTGACCCCCCTCTTCTTTTTGGTTGTTTCTATTTCAATGTAGGTGCGCAGGTATCTTGTGATCACCTGTTCGTATAAAACCAAACACAAATCCTCAATAAAATGCAACAAAAATTTTAAGTAAGAAAAATAATAAAAACAGAAAAATGAGCCCACCTAAAATTTAAAGGTGACCAATGTCTACCTTTCGTCTAAAAAAAATGTCTGGTACCTAATTGCCACGCGTTTTCCTCCCCCCACTAGTGATCTTATGGGGTATCACAAAAGCTGTCTATATCCGGTCCCCCCTACCAAACCAACCAGCGTACCAGCCTTAACTCGAGTTGGATTTTGGATCTCCACCTAATATCACCAACGCGTGTTAATTTCTAATGTAACTAAGTCAACGATGTCGACTAATTAGTTACTCTAATTTCCCCCTTTTTTGCAATTTACAACCGCCAACCTCTAGCCTAACCAGTCCCCCTTCTAACCTCCCCCCTTTCTAGCCCCCCTTCTTAAGCCTAAAAATTACTTTAAGCGCCGGGTGCTAAACCTCTCAAGAGAAAACCGTAGACCTGTTTCCAGGCCTGCTCAAGTAAAAACGTTCCTCAAAACTGGGGGATTTCGCTTATCCAATTTTACACTTATCTCCTATAATGTAATGTGGATTCTAACGATACCCGTTCTGCCCAACTTGAGAACTCGAGAATTGCCAAATCCTTCTTGGCTGCTTTCCCACTCGACTGGTCACCTGTTCCAGTCCAGTCTCCTATTGGTTCAGCCAAGTGTCCCTGAACCACTTTCCCACTCGGCTGGTCACCTCTTCCAGTCAAGTCTCCTATTGGTTCAGCTCAAGTGTCCCTGAACCACTTTCCCACTCGGCTGGTCACCTCTTCCAGTCAAGTCTCCTATTGGTCCAGCTAAGTTCCAAGCTATCTGAAAACCCTTGACAACGCCCCACTTCGGGCACTTTATTCAGTTTACTGGTTTAAATTGCTAGGTTGATCGAAACGATCGAACTTGTAAAACAGTATGGGTATACTATTTAATTAATATAAAGGTTTGATCCAACTAATCTGGTGTCAAAGTCACTGTCTTTTTTCGTTTTATGGTTTTTGTTCCTTTTTCTATTCTTTTTTGGTTTTTGTTTTGCTTTTTGTCTTTTTGCTCGTGTTTTTGTCCCCCTAGTTGCCCCCCTTTACTCGGTTAGCTAAGCCTCGTTCGGAGAGCGTACCAGGAAATTTTCTCGAGTTTTCTTAAAAAGCTATCACGGTACAACCGGAAGGTTTGCACGTTCCTGTCGAACCGTAGCGCCGGTACTCTAGAATGGGCATTCAGCCCGAAGCTGTCTCAAGTGGGTTCGACTCCGTAGTCTTGATGTCGTAAACACCCAGGAGCGCCATAAAAACACTATGTAACATTCGTCTACTGCAGTCACACATGAGGCTTAAGAAAAATAGGCCCTATAACCACTGGCTCAAGGGTCAGGGACACTATCTCTTGTGTTTTTCCACCTCAAGAACGGTCGGAGCCAGTTCGGTTCGCTTGTGACATGAGACTACGACCCGTTACAGCTTAAAGGCTACTACTAAAATATCCCCCCACTCTAGAATTAGAAACGTCCCCATACTTAGGTCTCTAGATACCCAAAATACATGAACGCCGTTAAAAACCGGGTCGGAACAATCCGTTAAGTTACTTTTTGTTAGACAGTGGAACTTTGATCCATTTCAGATGGATCAACCTAAAACTCGCCTTACCTCAACATAACAATTATAAAACACACTCTAGAAATTTAAATTAAGGACTCACATGTTGATGCGCTCAAGCACAGGAAGTAATTAAATGGGTGAGCAACTCTAGAATTAACTAAAGTAACTAGATAAGTTCAATGTTTGTCAGTTTGAATGGTAAGGGTAAGTTTGAACTCAAGAACGAAGTTTTATGTGGACCATTGGGACACTCAAGCTGTCCACCTTTCCGTCGAAGGTTCACTCTGGTCCAGTTCGAATAATTACTCTCTCGGGAATACTCTGTCTTCTATTTCAGATAGGACAGCTCTACTCTTGTTCACTATGATGGAAATTGCGAATTGCAATTTCACACTCGTTTTTATCTGACAACTTTCCCGCAATTGTTCTAAAATTGTTCTCCTTTCTTTTTCTGATTTTCAGTTATCGCGAGAAAATCGTGCATGACATGTTCCATTCGAAATTTTGAAAAATTAAATTTCACTCCAAAATCAAGTGTTTTCTGCTCTTCTCAAGGTCAAACTTCCAAATATGACCGACTGGCACATTTTTAATCGACCCGATGTTAGAAAGACCACCAAAAAACTGGCTTTGGCAGTGACTGTGAAAAGCATGTAGAGCTGTGTTTAGACGCTAGCCCAGGGATATCGATTTGAATCCGAGTATTCGACCCGAATACCGAGTATTCGGCACTTCGAAGCCGAATCCGAATATTAAAATTTGGAAATCCGAATATCGAATCCGAATATTTTTTTTTTTGCCGAATACCGAATAATCCAGGGTCCACTGCTAAAAAACCCGAATATTCCGAATATTGGTTTACTGTTTTGTTTCGCAATATTTTTCTGTTTTTTTTTAAGATGGCTAATGTAGAAGAGTCTGATGTCGCTGCCGAGTGCGAGTATAGAAAAGAAAAAGGAGTGGCAAAATGGCATGAAAAGTTTCTTGTGGAATATCGAGGTGGTAGAAAAACGGAAGGAAGAAAGTGCATTAAATGCAATGTTTTGATTAAGAGTATTGGGGTGCAAGGGTGCAAGTGACTTTATGCTAAGTTTTTTGGGAAAATAACCAAATATCCGAATAGTTGTTCGAGTAGTAACATTTGGCCGAAGCCGAATCCGAATAGTAAGGGCACTATTCGGCCGAAGTCGAATATCGAATAGTTGGGCCGCGGCGAATAACGAATATCAAAAAATCCGAGTATTCGACATCCCTGCGCTAGCCAGTCGTTTTAGCACTTAGCTTTATTTTCCGTCGATATGTACTTAGGGCGAATGTTACAGAGTCCCTTGAGTAATCTTGATTTTCTTTTGTTTTCCTTATACAGAAATACCTGTTGATAATTTTTATTATCGTGTAAACAAGGTGAGCGCTTTGCCCTTTATTAAACTATTTGTTTCATCTGTAGCTTTTCAAAAACTTTGAATATTCAAGCAATGTTGCAATTTTTTTTTCCAAATATTCTCAATATCTACAAAAAGTGTGAAATGAGTATCAGTATCTAGCCTTCATATCTCAATATTATAAATTTACACCTTGTCACATTAATTAATATGTGATCATTTTAAGAATTGCTATCTCTGGTCTCGACTCCACTCTCATTACTACTGTTTTAGAGCCACGACACCTCCTCAGGACTGAATAGAAGCGACCAGACTCATTGACGCTCGTCCCATAGTCTGTTGGTAGGCCGCTCCTGTGGGATCTAACGGTAATTGACTTCCTAGCCATTAGTATAGTAAGCGCAGGGTCAGTTTGTAACCCCGGAACGGAAGCGGCCGAGGCGGAAGATCGAAAATTTTACAAAAATAGATTTAATTAAAGATGGATATATTTTTCAACCATCTTTCGGCCGGCCCCAGCACAATTTTTTTTGAGCAAGCTTTGAAGAACCTAAGCATATGCACTGAGGGACCCGGATCAGACAGCTTTTTAAAACAGAGAATCTCCCTGGCAATACAGATTGCGAACGTCGCTTGCGTACTCGGATAAATGAATGACAAAGTAACTTTCGGCGAAATTTTTTATTTGTAACACTTGTATTTAGCATTCTCGTGTCGAGTTGCGTGTTCTTATTAAAGAAACGTAACCCGTATCGATTTTAATTGAAAAAGACTTCAACACTTGTCATCTTCTTTTATCAGTATCACTTCCATATCTAGAAATATACAAGGATTTTGACTGGAATACGTGATGAAGGGACTCCTGACTGTAATTTCGGTTACTATGATACTTTTGACCTTCTGATTACCTACTTTTAAAAAAAATGATTAATTATCTTAGTTACATTGAATGAAAATGACTGACTGCCTTCAATTAATTTTTGAAGCAGTCTTAAGTATTGGCGGTCCCTTGTCTTGCAAATTCAAATTTCTATCTTAAGAAATCACTTTTCGAGGAAACGATCTTGCATGGCAGTATCTGCGTTGATGAAATCTATCAGTTGAACGTTTGATCTAAAAATATTAATGTTTTTAATTTTCAGTATCAAAATGAAAGCTGTTATTAACAAATCGTTTAGTGAAGTTAAGACCACCGAAGTTATCGTCGCAAAATTTAAAGAGAAACGTGAAACACAGAAAGTTCTGAAGTTTTTGAAAACTACCTGTCCAGACTTAATGTTACCGCATCTGAAGGTAATGAATAAAATGTAATTGAATGAAGTTACACGTGTGGAAAAGTTAAATCGAAAATTTCTATTTTGCACGATCAATACTTGGTTTCAAGGACTCAAAAAAATTGCGCAAGCGAATTGACACTTTCTCAACGAAAAAATCGAATTAATCAACTTGCCATTTTTTGAAGCTTTGCAACTTCTAAAGTGTTCAAAATGTTGGGAAAGTTGCCTCACCTAGTGAGAACTGACTTTTTCTGATCCGGAAAGAATTGGGAAGTTCTTAAAACCAAGTATTGATGACCAAGTATTAAATTTCTTAGTAAACACTGTTCTTACTAAACATTGTTCCGGCCTTTTCGAAGGAATTTCAGAAAGTAAAAGGATAAATTTGCGTTTAATGTTGTACATCGGTGTATGTCATGCAAATGAAATTTTTTCTTTCAACGGGGTAGCTGTTAAGAAAATTTGACGATGTACTGGAAGTGATAATTGCAAGAGCAGAAGTGTGGCCTTCTCTCAAAGAGTCAGTCATAGAGTCAAAAGTTGGATGTATTTTATACGATTTCCGCATAGTCAGAGTTTCATCCAGAGTACCGCAAGTTCAGCAGCAGTACGAGGTTGCCAATGAGTTGTGGCCATGCTCTTTTCATAGAAACAAATTGTTGTCAGCTCTGATCGATGGAACGTTCTTTTCCGAAATTGAACTCCAGTTTCTCTTTTCAGTGTGGGAGAAAAAAATGCTTCCAATTGTGACTTATATGGATGCGCAGGGCGCCGAAAATACGATCGTGGAATGTCCAAATATGTGTGAGTAGGTTAAATTTATTGGAGCAATTAAGCAGAGTAATCTCCCCCCGCAATGACCAATTGAGCTATCTCTCCCCAAGCAAAACGGGAAAACAAACACAGCAAATGTGTTATCAAATCAAATGAGAGCAGCGAGCTGACGTGTAGTTAGCATGTAGTCAATTGATCAATAGCATAAAATTCAGTCAACAAAAATGGCACTTCACTAGACTTACATTTAAAAGAGCCGTTGCTTTTACCAAGGAGTAATTTTTGTATTTTGGTTTAAGTTGTCTGTAGCTATTGGAAATATGAATTTGGCCACAATATGGGCACGAAAAATCATTTCAACCTAAGAAGGGGGAATACACTATAACAATTGATACTAAGACCCCATATGGAGTAAGCTAACCACACTTGGTACCTATATATGAAGCAATATCATATGATGACACCAGTGGATTAGGGGGTGGGGGATGGAGGGGGCGGATGCCCTTCCCTTCTCCTCAGGGATTCGACCCCCTGCCAATTTAAAGTACAAATGAACAATCACAAAACAAACAACAAATGTGGGATGAATCATTGAGGATTGAAAAGAGAGGGGGAATGCGCTAACAGCAAAGGAACAAAGGAGCACCAGAATTGGGAATGCAAAAAACGTAATAAACTGCACAAGACTAGATGGCCCGGCTGACAATCATAGTGGCGTTTCCTCTCATGAGGCACACTGAGAGGCTCTGGAGAAGGCGAACTGGGGCAACACGAGCGTCACGTGAACCAGAACGTCTGGCATCAGCGAGGATAGCAACTGACTTGAGGGTTTTGATAGCTAAAGCGGACCAACCCCCGAGCGTTTCGACTGCTAACGGGAAAAAACTGATTCCTTGTTCCTCACAGTTTTTCTCGTGTTTCGAAAATTTGCGGTCCTCAGCAACTTCCAGGGACGCCCCGGGGGTCTCCGCCGCACGAGAGAGAAGAGATAACTGCAGCGGGGATGTCACGGTGACGTCGAAAGCAGCTGGGCGACCAGCGCTCCAAGTAGGGATAAAAATATCGCCGGGTTTGGACCGTTCTCCAGGGATGAGGTTCCGTTGCTCCTTGATGGGGGCTAAAGAGGCAGCCGAGGTAGCATTGAAAATAATGTCCCGTAGTCTGTCGTGACGGGAGATCCGGCCACCACTCCCCCCACAAGCGACAGCGTGGTCCCCGAGGACGTCCAGAATGCCAGACGGACACGCGGGGCACCTACGAGCAGACGCGAACACAGGAAGACCAAGGCGGTATCTGACAGCAGCTTGGAACTCAGCAGGTAGCAGGTGCAGGCCAAGACCTTTAATGGGGACTGCGGTAAGCCAAGCGCCGGCGTAAGGCAGAGAGAGCGACTGAAGACGAGCTTGCTCGCGGGAATCGGGAAGCGACGAGAAGAAAGCGTTGTAGGTGGCCTTATCGAGTTTCTCTTGGAAAGCTTCTTGAGTAAAACCGGGAGTGTTAACGCTTCCAGACTGTTCACGGAAGTCGTTCGAGGCACGCAGGAACTCCGGCGTATCAGTGATGTCGCATTCGGTAAGAAACGAGACCAAATGAGCTGACTGACACGAAGACCCTAGGAAGGCAGGGATGTGTTGGTCGCGAGCTTGCCGGACGCCAAGTCCGCCATCTTTGATAGGCAGGGAAGACTGGGACCAGGCAAGATCAGGAACAGGTGAGCCAACTATGACAGAAAGAGCATCGCGGAGGAGTTCATCAAAAACTTGCAGGGAAGCTGCGACAGGCTGAGCGGGCGGCTGAGTGCGAAGAAAGTACGTCAGCTTGGGAGCAGCAAGGCAAGTGCGAGTGATGCCAATTGATCAATTGAAATTTTTTTATATGATTGTCGCGAGTTTTTTTTCTGAAAAAGTCCATTTTTTTTGTTCCGTGGGCGATCATTGCTTAGAAGAAAACCAGTTACCAGGGCTGATGGTTCTTTGATTTCGTTTCTAAATGTAAGTAATTACCCTCGCGATAAGCAAGGGTAATGCGATCGGGCACTAGACTTTTCTTCCGTAATTAACTTTGTACAGGTCAATTTTGTAGGAATGGTAAATTTCAGGTCATGCTCAATTTCAAATATAGTTACCTTTTTTTCTGTTGTAAATAGGTGTAGTCCGTTTTGGTTTTTTTTCAAATAGTTTTCTCAAAAATAATGTTGAATTTGAATTTTTTTCATGTTCGTGAGTTTCTGCCGGTTCATTTTTTTGAAATTGAATGTTTTCGTGTTCGTGAGTTTCTGCCGGTTCATTTTTTTGAAATTGAATTCATATTATCTGTTACTGTTTGTTATCCGCTCATTTTGTTAATCATTGATTTTATTGTAACTTAAGATTTTTTTCTGAAAGTGAAAATTCTGTTTTTTGTCGGTTCTCCAAGTCTGATTTAATATTTTCATTTTTAAGCTTGCGATGTCAAACTGGAATATAGATTTTTTCGGGCTAACATTTGTTTAACAAAATTACTTGAATCACTAGACTTCATTTACGTGCACACGTGCAAATTTAAGTTCTACCGATCTACTGTTACTACTGACAGTTCTTTTAAGAAGTAATATCTCCAGTTTTTGAAGATAAAATATTCCGTGTCAAAAGATTTCGTTAGTCTGATTATGTTTTGTCCGATTATGTTTAGTCTGATTATGATTTGGTTTTTGAGAAAAATTCTACTCATGAGGTGGTAAAGGTCCTGTGTTCGAACCAGGCCAGAACTTTTTTATCAAAAGGGAAATATTCTGTTTCGAAAATTTTCGACCTGTTGTGTGTCTGCTTATGTTTAGTCGGCTTAGTTGCCTTGTTTTGGATTTTTGCTGGACTGTAAGTAATTTTTATTGTAATAGAAAGGATTTTGATTTGTTACTGTAGTTTGTAAACTCACTAAGTTTGTATTTTTTGTTTCGTTTTTTTTGCTAGTTTGTTTGGCTTCAATTGTTTGTTTGGAAACAATTTTTCTGCTTTTTCAGACTTTTGTCCGTCTGTTTTATTCAACTGTAAGGTTCAGTTAGTCTTCACCTGAATGCCATTTCAGAAGCGCCATTGGTGAAAGTAAATGAGTTAAAGGTTTCTTGCGGAACTGTAGTTTCAATTTTTTTTTGAAAGTTTTTAATTTCTTAAAGAAAAATTTGTATGAATTTTCAAATTGCTTTCTTATTTTTGCTCCTTCTATTAAGTTTCTCGGAGCAATTGCGTATGCGATGATAGTGCTGGGAATAATCAAGTCTTATCAATTCGGAACATAGACTGATTCTTGTAAACCACCTGTACTACAAATCACTGAATCATTTTCTCAAGTCAACCAACAGACATTTTTTGATCAATTCTGAGCTTCTAATACCCGTTCTACTCAATATTTATCTCTCCTGTTGATTTAAATTTTACCAACTTCGGTTCGGCATCATTTCAATTTTTTGTTCTTTCGTTTTTTTTGTTTACTCGGCTTAAAAGTTTTTTTTTCGTTTTTACCAAATCAAATTAGTGGCAGAATATTAAGTCGTTGGATGAGCGAAAATGGTTTTCAATGCATGTGTGTCTTTTGAGTGTTAGATCAATATTTAAAAACTTTTTTTATGAAACAACGAAATATTTTATTTTTTTTGGCTCAACGGGTGTCTGTTAAAAAATTGTCTGCATTGTTTCGTTGCAAATGTGACTTTCGGTTGTCTTATTCGTGATGATTTTTTGTGATATTTGAAAAAGTTAAGTATATTCGAGAATGATATGATTTTTTTTTTCGTATTTAGCGGCATTCGTCTCATTTTCACTGCTAGTTTGTCATGTTATGTTTGTGTTGTATCGCAAGTGGTGCGAAGCTTTGGTTCACCTCTGTGTATCACTCTGAAACTTTTTTTAGTAATGATATTATGAATTTTGGTGTTCCTCGTTCGTTGGAAAACCTGGCTCATGATTTCATATAATTGAAACAAGTTTCAAGTTGGTATAAACATGCATCAAATATCTATTGAGCTATCTCCCCCACGCGGGAATGGGGGGGGATTGCTCAATTGATCCGATTCCTTTTAAGACTCCATTTATTTATGATATTTCTCAATGTCAGTTTTTTTATTTTAGTGACAGCAATTGCTTGCTTGAAGACTCAGTGGGTTGTGTGTTTGACTGAGATTCAAGTTAGGGACCATCCTCTTGCGCATAGCGTTATGGTTGGGGTAGATTGTGTCGCCAAAATAGAAGGAGGTGGCGCCCATGCTTATGCACGAAACCATATTTCGAACGGTATTGTTATTGAAACAGACCTCACCAATGAAAATTCGGAGGATTCTAAATGTAAGTTTCTAAATAATTTGAGAAAATTTCGATAAAAAATTGACCCCGAAAGAATCATTGGCCTTTCAGACGCTTCTAAATCAGAATATTTGTGTACAAATTTCGTTGCTATTTTGACCCACGAACCCTGCGCTATGTGTGCAATGGCGCTTTTACACTCAAGAATTTCTTCTGTCATTTACTCACTACCTTTTGAGCAAGGAGGATGTTTGGGATCGAAGAGAAACATTCATTTAGAACAAAACTTCAATCACAGGTAATCATAGCCCCTTAATTGTAGCAAAACAAGCTATTCTGTTTGAAATTATCCATTTTTTTGCTCGAAATTACCCATTTAGTTCATACATTTTGTCTTTTTAGATTCAACGTTTTCAAAGAGTTCAAAACTAAGGAGCTTCAAGATGTATTGGGCTGTAAAACTTGAATGTGAAATTAGACAGATTCGAAGAAATAAGAGAGGTTTTGAATGGGGCTCTGCGACTTAAGAGAGACATTGTGTTGGTATGATCAAACTTTCGGACTGTTCTTCACTGATTGCTTGAGACATCTGTCCGCCGCAAAACACATTAATTATTTGCTCATTTCAAGGTGCTTTGAACGCATTAGTTGGTCAGTTATTGTTTGACTTGGCACTGTTGGGCTTTGTTGCGCATGCAAAGGAGACCTGTGTGAAACACTCGTTATAATTATTGTCAAATAGCTTAGCTCAAATTTTCTGACCCGTTAGTCGCTAGAAGTAATTTTCGCTAAGCTGCATTGAAATATCTTCAGTAGAACGGCACATCATTGTCAATATCAGTATAGCAAAACTACATCCTAAGAAATTGTAGTAGGGTTGATAGTTAACCAACAATGTTTAGTGCTGGTCAATTTTTCTGAAACAATTAGTATTGAACTAAACAATAAACCATCTTGAACAGTTAACAAAATCTGATCTGATAGTTAAAATGTTTAGTGGTGTAAGTTGTAGGGAAGTCGATAATTTTCCGTTACGAAGTTCAAAACTATCAAATTCTAAACAAATTCAGAAGTTTTATCGAAGAAATATATTAGGAGATATGATTTAAGTTGAGGTTGTTTCTAGCGATCGTTGTTCAAACAGGCCCCATTTTGTATTGCAAACAGGAAACCCAAGCTTAGCTTGAGATTCAATAATTGCATTATGATCTGATATTCGACTGTTGTTTGCCCTCAGTTGATTAACCAGGCGCTGTCTCAGATATTGATATCTAACTGTATTCTAGCCACTTCATTATCGAGCCATGAATTAAACTATTGGGGATGTTTAAACAGTATTAGATTCTCGGTTGCACAAGAACAACACTTTGGATGGTAAGTCTTGTTCTACTGCATAGCATCTGGAAGTAGCACTTTTGAAACACTAAAAACGGCCACCATTTATTATCTAAATCGGCATCTTTGAACTGAAAATGTGTGTGACAGAGTCACCCAACTTTCGGTCAAAATTCTAGAGGCTAGTAGTCTGCAATAACGTATTCTAATCAACCTATTTCATTTTCAGATAAGTTTTGTCGCAAAAGTGAGTTACATTTCCTTGTGAAACTTGACATAAACGAGGTTGAACACGATCTTTAACATTATTCGCGAAGTGTTGGAAATCTTAAGCAATAGTTGCCAGAAACAAATATGCCAGGCGGTGGCGCGGGAGACGCGCTGGACGTGTTGCGGGCGGCGGAGCAGAGTGGGACGGGTTCTATGATCTCGGATGTTGCGGAGAACGCGGAGTGGATGGCGAAGCGACTGGTGTGGATCCCCTCGGATAAGAACGGATACGAAGCAGCGTCCATCAAACAAGATCTGGACGACGACAAGTGAGTAGAGATTAGATTGTTCATTCACTGTTGTGAAACAAATTCACATCAAAGTTGTTGAGTCAACTAGCATTTGTTTTATGTGGAGATTTTAGCAAATGAGAGTGAAAGCAATATTGCGAGCCCATATCGTTTCAAATAATCAAAACTATTTGATTAATAGACGTTTTTTTTTAAAAAAAAGACGAAGAGAGTTGAAACAAATCTAATCTGTTCGTTGTTCAATTTTCTGGTTATGCTCTTCAGTATGGAATGATTAAGACAGGGGATTACCGCTCTCTAAGCTGACAGGGGTGATTTCATTCTATTCGCTGTTTTTCTAATATTTTTAAGGACCTTTTTCAGTGTCGATGAACGAATTGAAGACACGTATTTAGGTCGTGTATTTTACCGTTTTTTCCATCTTAACCGTTCTTGAGAGTCGATGAATGTAGTTGAGGCTCTTATACAGGCGTGATGTTTTTTTTGGTTTTTTAGGAAAAGTCTTAAAATGCTCTATTATTTTACAGAAGTGCATTCATACATCTTAATGCATTTAATAATGCTTGAGTCATATATGCACTATTTGAGTTCAATTCAATTTCATCTGCTAAAATTTAATAAAATTGCGCTCTCCAATTGCGATTTTTTGTTCTGATTTCGCAGCTGAATAAAAAATTTACCTTTTGATCCAGTTTTCTGTAATTGAGTTGATTTTATGAAAAAGGTGTCAATTATAAATTGTTCTTGAAATTCAAAGAGCTTGAAGGCCATGTATTTTTTCCGATAAATTTGAAGTTTTTCAAAAAAACAGTTTTTTTTTTCTGTTTCCTTGCGTACATAACTGTCTTCGAATTGCTGGCTATGTTTTACATTCAAAACTGATTTTTGGCGGTTTGAATTAAAAAAATTTTTGGTAAGAGGAAAAAATTACGCTCTTCAATTGCAACAGGGCAAAATGTGTGAAAAACGTGAATGACTTTAACTCTTTAAAGTGGATTTTAATTTCTACATTTCCTAGCGGGAAAAAAACGTTTGATCCATTTTTCTCCGATTGTCCCACTTTTTACGCTTGTGATAAACAATCGGAATATTGAATTTTTCAGGTTACAACCAAAATTTTTTTTCAAGCTACAACCGTCACTATTCGATGAATCATTTTGCCACATTTTTGGTTTCATCAACAATATCAATATTTAGTGTAATATTATGAACAAGTGCACATGAAGAATAGCTTGCGATTGCACACTGAACGGCTGTAGAAGCAAAACTTCACTATAGAGCAAGCAGCTGACAGGGGGAAACCCCTTGTGCTATGTGCACAAATGCCCTACTACTACTATTACTAATAGAAATGTTTTGAATATATCTGCGTTCTAAATATCGGCTGGACTCAAAATATGTTTTTACACTAATGGTCAGCTTAGTGTAATGTTACGAACCTTCTTTTTTCTAAGCTAATTCGCAATTAAAAGTTTTCATCAAAAGTGTTCACTTAATTGGAAAGTTCAATAGCATTGGAGAGTGCATAGCATCTGTTCTCTGCTTTATTTGTGATTAGTGTGTGGTACCTATTAAGTGTCCGTAGCTGAGTGGCTAGTGTGAGCGTCTTTTAATCTCTAGGCAGCCGCTTCGAATCTCGGGTGTAGCCGAATTTTTACAAATTTGGAGCTTATTTCGAATTTTTCTTATTGCACTTAATAGAGCTGCTTTATGTCGTGTTCTCGCTAGTGTTTGGCTTTTAACTATTAGACTTCTGTGGCCGAGTGGTCAAGGTGCGAGACTCTTAATCTGTAGGTCGCAGGTTCAAATTTCAGAAGTAGCCGAATTTTTACTAATTTGAGGTTTGTCTATAATGTTTGTAATTGCTGTTTACAGGCTACTTTTGTCGTGTTCTCGCAAGTGTTTGCGAAGCGAAGCTTCACCCCTGTATTTAATTTGGTTTTCATTTTGAAAATTCTTATTGCTCCGGCGTTATTCGGATGAAATGGTTTCGTTTTCGATTGTCGACTTAGTCACCTCATATTGCGTCATTAAACAAACGACAGAAGTTTTTTGTCTGCTTGTATTTGGGTGTAGTGGGAGTAAAAAATATATGCATTTTTAGTTCTTGTTTTGTGAAAACAATTTTTCGGCTTAACAGATGTCTGATCAAGTTGGCGGCTTTGTTACTGCTTAGCTAATTTTATTCCTCATTGAACTTGTTTAACCTTGACAATTTATCTTAAATTTTGTCTCAATTGGCGTCTTCTTCTGGAAATGAACAAGCATATGAAAAGTTGGATAGATCTAGTTTAGTTTCAAATTTGGCTGCTTTTGTCTCTTCAGTCGGTTAATTTGGCTATGTTGTATCGCAAGTGATGCGAAGCCTTGTATCGAAAGTGTTGTATTGCCTGTCATCTTTGTCTAACAAAAACCTTTAAAGTTACACTAGCGTCAGCTTATGTGTATTATTAAGAAACTTTTTTTCTAATCTAAGTCGCAAATGTTGGTGCGACTTTTCTGGCTCCGTTACAGGTTTTTGATAGCGTGTGCTTTGACATTCGAATCGTAATAAGTTAATCCAGTTGATACATTTCTAATTCATCAAATGAACTGGAAAAAGCTATTTGTTTCAAACAACATAACACTAATAAAAACTCGGTTTCAGAACTTTTGTAACTCAATATATCTCGCAATTTTTTGAAATGCATAATTTATGCATTATGTGGTTTTATGCTTTGCGATTTGTTTCATGCAAATTTACTGTGGATGCCTTCAGTTTGTTATATTCTAAGTTATTACTTGCAACTTGTGTCTATTTGTATTTGGTGCCACTTTCGCTGAATCGCATAATGTATTAGCATATGTAGCTGCTTTATTCGTGACCTCAATTTTTTGGTGGTTAGGCGTGCGTGAGACTCAAAATCTTTTTATTGCAGTAGGTCGCAGATCGAAAACTAGACCTAGCCGAGTTTTTGTTTATTCGAGGCTTATTTCTATTTTTTCTTATTACATTTTCTAGAGCTGCTTTTTGTCGTGTTCTCGCTATTGTTTGCGAAGCTTCGCCTCTAAAACCCTTTTTCCTCTAAAGTTTGAATTGATAGAAAATAAACATTCCAGTCAGTCTGCCTGAGATCATTGACAAGTTTCCAGGCACTTTTTACGACTCCAGAGGAATTAAGTTCACTTTCTCACGCTTGCGATTAGCAAGCGTTTTCAAATTGGAAAGAATTTTTTTTCCTGATAAACTTGTCTTGGAGAATTACTGAATCATTTTGTCAAATTTGTTCTCTCATCAATCAACAGACCTAAATTGAGCTTGCATGCATTTGAAATGCCGGTTATAATCAAAATATGGTGGTATTATGTTGATGTCGGTTGTAAATTTACCCACTCCGATTTGGTATAATTTCAATTTTCTATTTATTCTGCTTAAAAGGATTCATTTTATAATATATCGGCTTAGTGGCCTCCTATTGCGTCATTTGATGACTAAGAAGTTCTTAACGTGCTTGTTTGTGGGTGAAGTTTTATGACAAAATGGCTCAACTGGTGTCTGTTTAACTTTTCTCTGATTCGTTACCGCTTAATAATTTTTTTCCGATGCTTATTAAATGTTCAGTTGTCTTACTTGCATGTTTACTCAGCATGAACATTTTTCAACACAATTCGAGATCAACATGTGAAAGCTTAGGTAGTTCTAGTTTTTTATGCACTTGTTTTTCTACTTTGCGGCTTCGTCTTGTTTTCGTGGCTAGTTTGGCGTGCTATGTTTGTGTTGTATCGTAAGTGGTGCCAAGCTCCGCTCTGCGTCTCTCTTGAATAACTAAATTTATTCCATTTTCCTTTAATGGGCTGATAAATCTGTTACTGTCTGAATTCACAATGTCTCATCTTTTTTGTAGATATAAGGTGCAGCTGGCTCAGGGCGGAGAGACGAAGGTGATCTCGAGGGATGATGTGAGCAAAATGAACCCACCCAAGTTCTCCAAGACAGAGGACATGGCCAATCTGAGTAACCTGAACGAGGCCTCAGTGCTCCACAACCTCAAGGAGAGATACTTCTCCGGACTCATCTATGTAAGACAGATTGCTCAACAGAATGAATAGTAACTAAAAGCACTGATAGTGTAAATAACACATGTTTAGAGTTAATTTTCACGTTTTTATCAATACCGGTACAAATCTTTAGTTTGATCTGCAGACTGGAAACAGTGCAAGTTTGGTAAAAAGAACTATGCAACATTTATTTCCACAAATATTCAAAATCCTTCATTTAGCATTTAATGAAGAAAAAGACAATGCTGTTTTGATTTACTTTGTTTGTGTGTGTTTTTAGACCTATTCGGGACTGTTTTGCGTGGTGGTGAACCCGTACAAGAATCTGCCCATCTACTCTGACGAAATAGTGGAGCGATATAAGGGCTACAAGCGTCATGAAAACCCACCCCACGTCTACGCCATTGCAGACACGGCGTACAGGCGAGTGACACACTCTGTATTGCATATGAAACGTATTTCCTCACAGGCTACCTAAGTAAGGTTAAACTACCGATGAGGACTTAGCGATATGTGCTCCTTGCTTTGGGCTGAGGAGGCATTTCACAGGCGAGAAAGCGAACCTATCTTGCATTTACTTCTCAATAAAGGGACCCAAAAGCGGTGCCGCGTGCAAGTGGCTGATTAGCTCGTATCCCGCTTCTTTTCTTCGGGCACAAATAGTTTCACCTTGAAAGAACTCTTTGGTTTTTTGTAAATGACAAACTGAAAATTGCTTTAGGTCGATGTTGCTAGACAGAGAAGACCAGTCCATTTTGTGCACTGGTGAATCGGGGGCGGGCAAGACAGAGAACACGAAGAAAGTGATCCAGTACATAGCCTATGTGGCAGCCTCCCAGAAGTCGAAACTGAACTCCTCAACTAGTCACACCCTCTCAGCCGTGAGTGTCTCACCCTCTCACCCTAGTCTGAAATGGTCCTAAAGTTAATGCTAAATTGTTCACTATATCGGCAACTTGGAACTTCTTTATGGGTCATTGTTTGTGTTATTTGTGATTAGTGTTTTATAATGAATTTTATTAGCGCTAATTGAGAAGAATGATTGTAGTTAAAAATTGTTGAAAATCAATGTGAAATTCGGCTTTTTACCTAGCATTTTAGTGGTGGATTTTAAAATCTCTTATAGTTTTCAGAATTGTATTTTCAACTTAATGAGAGCGTGTTTGTTGTCTCGCAGGTGGAAATGATTTCAGTAAGCCTAGTTTTAACCTCTAACTTCGAACTCGGTTTCTTAGAATCATCTGGTCACGTGGTTTGGTGCTGTCTTGTTGCATTGCACCTTTTACTCTACTCCTCATAGAAATGTGAAGAGGCATAGCGTACTCTTCAAAGTAGTCTACTGTAGTCTAATGCTACTTTGGTGTTTGGGTTTTTTGAGTAGCTGGAGCCCTTTTGTGTCTTCATAGGGTATTTTTAATAACGATAAAAAGCCATGTTTAGTTCTACCGCTTTTTGAGTTGACCCGAACAGCAATACTTGCTTGATATCAATCAAAAAAATCTTAATTTGAATTGAATCAATTTTAATTTTTCTAAAGCTCTGCCATGCTAAACCAAGTAGCATGACAGTGTAATGTTCTTTTTTTTTCAAATCTGAGTTCATTTTGCTGTTTTGGAAATTATGGGTTATAATGTCGTTCTATCACCACAGGGAAATGCATTTGCTCAAGTAAGAAATAATACAAGACCCCGCTTCAATTCGCAAAATGCTTTCACACTATTTGAAGTCAAACTGATTTATAAACTGAGTCGAATTAAACTTTTATTGCTTTAATCGGTAATCACTACGGCTTTCACAATTCAGTTTTAATTATGAAATCATTCGTCATCTCATCCGTATCTTTGTTTATAGTTTCAACTGCATGAATGATTTTAATTTGTGTTTGTTTTTAGGGGGAGCTGGAGGCGCAACTTCTTCAGGCTAACCCCATCCTAGAAGCATTTGGAAATGCCAAGACCATCAAAAACGACAACTCTTCCAGATTCGTGAGTGATTTTGATTGTGATGGGAGAGGGGAGGGTTGCTGACACTTGGTATTGATCATGTCAAGTTGTCTCAATTTTGGCCTTTGATTTGTTGTGCCATTTATTGTGTTAAATTTCTGACAACGGATCTCTATTCCCGCCAACATGCAAAAACAACTGATTTTGATTGGCGGAAAAGTAAAATGCTGAACTATCATCCCCCTCCCCTCTCTTAATTGGTTTAGATAGAGGAGAGGGAATAGTTATAGGACTGTATAACATTGTTACTATGTGTTGTGTTGTGTTGTGTAATTAGGGCAAGTTCATCCGCATCAACTTCGACCAGGCGGGCTTCATAGCAGGAGCCACGATAGAGACGTACTTGCTGGAGAAGAGTAGGGCGGTGAGGCAGGCCCCAGACGAGAGGTCCTTCCACTTCTTCTACCAGTTCCTGTCTGCCGCAGACCACAACACCATCAGTGAGAAACAGATATCTGTCTTCTTTTTTGAGAGAATATGCTGACAACTTCGATTTGTTCGTGGTTCATTTGTGTCGATAGATTTCCATTTTATCAAAGTCTTTTTTTTCGTCAACTTGCCCGTTTTTCATCAAATTCTGAAATTTCATTGCATCTGTTCTCTGAGTTATTGGTGTTTGACGATCGTGAAGCTACCGCAGCACAGATGCAATGACGTGAGTTTCCTTATCTACTGGTCGGATGTTCAGTGCCGCACTTAGCGCTTTTTTATTTATATTTGGTGGTATTTTCGCTGCATAGCATGGGTCTGAGCGATCGTGGAGCAGATGAAACTCCGTCTGCAGGTTCGATTCCGGCACGTAGCGAAAGTTATATTTTCAAGGATTAAGAGTAAAGAACATAGTGAGTACTCTTATATAGGTCTTTCTGATTTTTTTTTTCAGGAAAAAGCCTTAAAATTTGTTTACGCTCAATTTTGATTTTTTTTTGCGGTTTGACTTGTGGTTTGTTTTTAAGTTCAGTGCATTTCTATTGCTAAAAGGAAGGCAAACTTCAGTTTCGAACAGCAAAATTGTAAAGGTCACGAAAAACGTGATCGACTTTTTATTTAGAAAATGGAAGTTAATTATCAGATTTACCAGCGAAATATAAGTTTTACCTATTGATCCAGTTTTCTCAAATCGGCTTAACTTTAACTAAAAAGTGTCCATCATAAATTGTTCTGCAAATTCAAAGGGGTCTAAGGTCATCATTTTTTTCCTAGCATTCATTACGTTCAGTTGGCAATGTTTTGATCCTTCTACTTCGCTAAAAGGGAATAAACTTTGGATCAGCGTGTTTTTTCCGTCAGATTTTGAATACTTGAAAGAACTCGTACGGGTTCAAGTTCTAATGAAACGGGTTCAAAACTCGTTAGGGTTGAAGTTCCGGTTTTTTCTTCATTTTGAATTTCTTTGATCTCATTCGTTGGGCGTTTTTTGCACAGAAACAGGCTAGCCTCTTTAATGTATGGCGTTGAAAATATGAGACAGTATCAGTTTGGAATGCTTCCACTTTGGGTTTGGATTTTATTGAAATGTAGTGTGGAAAAGTATTGATTGGTCATTGTGATTTGCAGTTGATTCAAGTACCGATCCTCCTAAGAAGCTACGTAAGTTCCTGAACAGTGCAGTTAGATAGGAAACAGATAATGGAAATGGGAATGATCTAAACGAATGTGGTGAAACTAATGAATAGTTTACCTTCAATTGTCATTGTCTATGCAGAACATACCACTAGGAAGGTGTTTTGTCATTGGTGCTACTAATGATTTAATAGTTTTTCTTAACTGCACATTGTATGATAAACTATCAATTTCAGTTTCAGGATTTATCCATTAACATCACTCACTGTAATATATACTAAGGAGGAACTTTGAATTGTGTAAGATCGTCGAGTGGTGACTCAATATCACAGACTAGACTAACGATGTTCACTTTGTGGTGATCCTTGCTTACATTATCAAAACTTACTTGTCAGAACAGTACAAGTATGATAGGTGAGACATTAAAGTGGCAATATGAGTAGCAGTTGTGATTTGACATGCGCATCTTGTTCAGATGAGTTTCTTCTCGAGGACTTCGCGTCCTACAAGTTCCTGTCTAGTGGTCACGTGACAGTGCCAGGCATGAACGACCAGCAGGAGTTCAAGGCCACCCTGGAGGCGATGAATGTGATGAAGTTCACGGAGCAGGAGATCAAAGCGGTGTTCCGAGTGTCCAGTGGAGTTCTGTTGCTGGGCAATTTGGACTTCACCATGGACAAGAGCGAGCAAGCCACTCTCACCAATGACTCGGGTCAGTGCCATGTTTTATTTCGAAATTTGTCTTCTTATATATGTAACTTTTTCATCATGATAAGCGTTGAAATCTATAAACATAAAACGGAGTTCATTTTATAGAAAAATTCGGATTCGATCAGAGATTTAAAAAAAACTGCGACCGACAAGGTTGAAAAAATATAAGAAATTTGACATTTGCATTCATACATAATTCTTATCCGAATTCTATAGCAGCCTGGATGTCAAATGGTAATAGTTATACCGGACTCTGGCGAATAGTATTTCCCTAGACAGACGTGTGAAGCAAGTTAAATTTACAAAGATTTTGAGTTGCTGACAGTTTCTTCGTGCCCCTTTTGCACGAGTGATTTAATTCGATTATTTGTTTCTGAGTATTGACTTCTCTTCTGTACCATTAACTGGTTATAGCGCTTTTACGACCAAGGAAAGGTAGTATCTGCTCTCACCTCTCGTTGTTCCAATTGTAACCTCTTTCCAAGGAAACCGCATTTCCTCATTTGTAAACTATTTGTGACTAAGTCTCGCTGCATTGTTTCGCAGTAAATTATTTCCCTAAATATTGAATTATGGAAGAATATTGTTGAGTGCATGGAATTTAACGTAGAAGGTCTTTTGCATTGTTAGTTTTTTCCAAAACAAGTTTCTCTAATTGTCATAATGGCGTATTTATTTTCAAGAAATTAATCGATTATCAATTTTGAAATAGTGTCAAACCAAATTATATTGTCAACAGAAGTGCACGGTTGATGTTTTGTCGTTTAAAAATGAAATTGAAAAGTAGTGGGTATTGTTTTTGTTTGAATAGTTGCCCAAAGAGTCTCCCACCTGTTGGGTGTGAACTGCATGCACTTCTCAAATGCACTCCTCAAGCCCAAACTGAAGGTGGGCAGAGAAATGGTAGTGAAGGCACAGAACAAAACACAAGTGACCAATACTCTGGAAGCACTGGCTAAAGCCACTTACGAGAAGATGTTCAAGTGGATAGTGATGAGGATCAACAAGAGTCTGGACAAGAATAAACGACAGGGAGTGTCTTTTGTCGGCATCTTGGACATCGCAGGATTCGAGATCTTCCAGGTACTTCACACTCATTTCTTCGAACAAATTTCCATCATAAAAGCTCCCAGCTTATAAATTATGGCTTATTATGGGAAGTGAATGTAATATTTGGTGTGTTCTCAAGATGATGGGAACCAATTTAATTATTGGGATCGTAGATTTACAGGAGTTCGTAAGATGTGTGATTCAATGTGTGATTTCATCACAGAGTTCATAGATCTTTGGTTTTGATAGCATAAAGTGAGTATTCTGTTCAACTTTCAAGTTATCATGTTGATTATGCGTATCCTCCGTAGCATTGTATGATAGTTATCCATTTCGGCACCCAACGAACCAATGAATTGCATCGTTATGTCCATTCCCCATCGTTTAAGTCATCTTCGTCACTATAAACCCTCTTAGTAGATCGATGGCCTCCATTACTTCCCCCTTATGTGACGTATTTACACAAGCGGAGCGCAGTGTTGTTTTCAATTTACAGCTTTGACAAGATTTTACGTGCTGTATGCCCTGCTTAAATTAGCGTTCCAGGTTAATAATCGACGCAATTCAGCAGATTGGCTTTGGAACCCCTGAGTTCAAAAAAGTTTTAAAAGCAAATCTTAGGTCGACAAAGCTTAAAATGTGTGTGCCTCCTTCATATGATTGAATGAATTGCGTTGTTTTGTGTTCAGGACAACTCGTTTGAGCAGCTGTGTATCAACTACACGAATGAGAAGCTGCAGCAGCTGTTCAACCACACCATGTTCATCAAGGAACAGGCAGAGTACCAGGCAGAGAACATCGACTGGCACTTTGTAGACTACGGACTGGATCTGAAACCATGCATTGACCTTCTCGAAAAGGTAAGAGACTGAACAGCCATTACAATCTTGATGATGGATAGCCAACAGAGTATTCGTAGAAATTAGTTTGCAGACCTTCGTGCTGATTTGTTAAAGAAATTTTGCCTGGTCGACATGAAATTCTGAAATTGATTTCTAACATTGGTAAATTTTTAACAGCTATGAAATCAGTTTAGGAAAATCTAATAATTTTAGTAACACACATTAGAGAAGTTTTTGAAGCAAAAAGTTTGGAGTGGATGTAATTGTTTGACTGCATCTTGAAGCCTACTCCGAGTCATATCGCATTTTTCTCGGTTGGTTGGAAACAGAAGTTTTACAAATGGTTTTCCAGCCGATGGGTGTGTTCACACTGCTGGACGAAGACTGTCTGATGCCTAACACGACTGACAAGAGCTTCGTGGAGAAGCTAGTGGCCAACCACAAGGAGTCCCCCATCTTCAAGAAACCCCCCAGGTAACAAACAGTATTCAGCAACTCATTAAGCTTCGAGGTCTTCAGCTCTGATGATTATTTCAACGCCTTCTAGCTTGCGTAACTAGAAGATTGTGAAAAGTACACCCAATGCATCAATAGGTGTCTGATGCAAATGATTAATTAATATTACTTGAATGCACATTGTGTATTACTTGAACCCATCATCATAGCTTTTGTCCAAACACGAATCTCTAAAGAACGAGTAGTGGGCAATGGGTCATGTTATCTTTATAGTGATTAAGAGTAATGAACGAAGTCAAGAATCTTAAATAGGTTTTGCTGATTTTTTTTGGTTCTCTTTCAGGAAAAAGTCTTAAAATATTGATGCACTTAAGTATAATGAACTTTTTGAGTTCAATTGAAATTCATCTGCTGAAAGTGACGTAAATAGCATTCTCCAAACACGAACGTACAAATGGCGCAAAAAAACTTGAACGATTTCTAGTTTCAAAGGTGGAAATTAGTTTTTAGATTTCTAGCGGAATAAAAACTACCTATTGATCCAGTTTTCTCAAGTTGGGTTCATGTTATCTAAAAAGCGCCAATCATAAATTGTTCTAGAAATTCAAAGAGCTGAAAGTTCATCTATTTTTTTCTTTGAAATTCGAAAGTTGAGATTTTTTTCATGAAAGTCAGTGTTTTTTTGTTTACTGGAGTTTATTACTCTTTTCCAATCTTCGATTTTTTGTTTACTTGAGTTCGATTGGCTATGTTTTGTTTATTACTGTAGCGATAAGCAAGGGTATTGCAATCGGGTACTATACTTTTTTTCGTAAATAACTTTGCTCACAGGTCTCCTTCATCTTCTGACATGCTCAATTTCTTGGAAATGCAAGTAAAACTACTATCGTTTAAGTAGTAATTAATTAAAGCCCGCTTCAGATTGTAATAATCTTTTCAAAATTTTTACTATAAGTGAAAGTTCACAAATTTGTAAATTTACCAAGCCTAATTTTGAGTTTTTTCTCTTTTTGTTTCAGTTCTTGTTATAGCGGTTTACTCAACTTCTATTGGCTATTTTCGAGGGCAAAGTATATTCGTATGCGATTATGTTTTTCGGTTTGGAAGGGTCGTAAAATTTTTTTAAAAGGTATGAAATTTTCTATGTCAAGAGTTTTGTCTTCGGCTCAACAGGTTTTGACCCAAAGTATGTCGCCTTTGTTGCCGCTCGGTAAATGATTTCCAAGTTTTTAAAGGCGGTTTGTAAACTTCATCCGATAGAAACATGAAGTTTTTGTAGCTGTATTTTTCGTTGTTTTTCAAGCTAATTTTTCAAGTAATTTTTTCCAATTTCTTTTTGACTTTTCCCATTCATTATCTTGTAGTGCAACGAGTTTTTATCGCGAAATTGCTCTTCGACTCTACGTAGTATGTTTAAGAGTCGATGAACTTAATTCAGACTCTTAAATAGGTCGTGATGATTTTTTCGGGAAATTTTACTTTTTTTGCGGTTTGGCTTTTGATTTTTTCTCAAGTTCAGTTTGTTTCTTTTGTTAGAGGGAAGACAAACTCCACTATCGAGCAGCAAAATTGTGATCGACTTCTAGTTTCGAAAGTGAAATTTAATCAAATTACAAAGTAAAAATATTATCTATTGATCCTTTGTTCTCAAATTGGGTTAGGTTTATCAAAAAAGTTTCAATCATAAATTCCAAAGTGAAAATATTATCTATTGATCCATTGTCCACAATCTGGGTTAGGTTTATCAAAAAAGTTTCAAACATAAATTCAAGGAGCTTTGAAAGATATCAATTTGTTTCTTAGAAATTCAGTATGTTTTTTTTGTTTACTTGCTTGCATTGACTCTTTTAAGTGTTTGTTGGCTATGTTTTGATTTTTTTGCGGTTTGACGTTTTAAGTTCAGATCATTTCGTTTGTTCAAAGAAAGCAAACTCCACTATCGAAGAGCTTAAGTATAAGTCCACGAAAAACGTGACTGACTTCTAATCACGAGAATAGATTTTAATTATCAGATTTCCGGAATAAAATTTTACTTCTTGATCCTGTTTTCTCGAATTGGGTGAATTTTATCAAAAACTGTTAATCTTAAATTGTTCAAGAGTTTCACAGAGATTCAAGGCTGTCTATTTTAAGTGTAATGGACGCCGTGAAGACTCATCATAGGTCTTGGTGGTTTTTTTTTTTTTTTTTTTTAGGAAAAAGTCTTAAAATGCTCTAATAACTACAGATGTGCATTCATACTTATTGATGCATTTATGAATGAACTTAGGTATATATGAACTTTTTTAGTTCAATTGAAATTCATCTGATGAAAGTTACGTAAATAGCACTCTCCAAATACGAACGTGAAAATGGCGCAAGTTTTGAAAGTGGAATATTATTTCTTCATTTCCAGCGGAATAAAAACTTCACCTGTCGATCCAGTTTTCTCAAATGCGGTTAATGTTATCAAAAAAGCACTATTGATAAATTGTTTTAAAATTCAAAGAGCTTAAAGTTCATCTATTTTTTTTTTGAAATTCGAAAGTTGAGATTTTATCAACAAAGTCAGTTTTTCTTGTTTACGTGTGTTTATTACTCTTTTCCAATCTTCGATTGGCTATGGTTTTTTCTTGGGAATTCGAAAGTTTTTTTCGAGGTTTTTTCAAACAGCAAGTTTGTATTTTTTCTGTTTACTTGCTTTCGTTGAATCTTTTCTAACTGTCTGTTGGCTGTTTATACTAGAGAACGAAATGTGTTGTTAGGTCCAACGAGTACCAGTTCAACATCAAGCACTACGCGGGCATGGTGACGTACAACTCGAACCAGTGGATCCAGAAGAACAGTGACCCCCTGAATGAGAACATAGTGGAGCTGCTTAAGGCCTCCTCCGATCCATTTGTGAAATCGCTCTGGCAAGACAGTAAGACACCTAAGTTTGGAACGTAACTAAATGAAGATTAGTTTCCTAGTATTCTTACTATTACTAGACTTGGGAGGAAGGATATCTCAAAAAACATCATTGTTACTGTCGACTTAGAATATTGATTTTTTTAAAAATACCTGTTGATGTCCAAAGCTCCCGTTCGAGGAATTTTATTTCCTCATCAGGAATGGTTCTAAGCAGTATATCTGTAAAAACGTCTGTTTAATTAATTGGAACTTCAAATTGGGCTGCAACTGATTTCAAATCAAATCTGTCCTGGCATCCATACAGATGTGTTATTTCCTCCGAGAAGTTTGAAAACGGACCATTTGGTCTAAAGATGTTTATTTCCTCAAAGTAATTCATTGGTGATAACTCTTGAAACTTCAAATGATTTTCAGTGAACTGTTGGCGTGTGGGGCCGTCCAGTTGTTGATATGGTTTTCATTTGTTGATCGTTTTAGCAACAAATATAATGAACAGCGTGAGTTCGGGAGGAGCTGCGGACACTCCCTTCGGGGCGACGAGGACCAGGAAGTCTGGCATGTTCAGAACTGTAGGCCAGTTCTACAGGGAACAGCTGAACAAACTGATGAATACATTGGAGAACACTAACCCCAACTTCGTGAGATGTATTATTCCCAACTACAAGAAAAAGGTAAGTGGTTGTCAGCTTCATCTTCCAAAAACATGTACTGATTTCTAAATGGTGCATGATTAAACATAGCTTCTTTTTACGGCTCGGTCATTTTTTGCCAATTGAATTTGCCAAGGGCAGGTTTTTGTAGAGAAGATTTAGTTGATTGATTGTTATAGTAAGGATAATCGAGGCCGGCAAATGACACCTTTTTTCTTCTCTGCTAGTCGAGATTATGTGATCGGGATGGCGAAAAAGCTATAGGGATGTTGATTTGTGCAGGCGGGAGAGATCAACGCGCCCCTGATTCTGGATCAGCTGAGGTGCAATGGAGTGGTGGAGGGTATCCGCATCTGCAGACAGGGATACCCCAACAGGATCCCCTTCCAGGAGTTCAGGACCAGATATGAGATACTCTGTCCAGGGGTACTGCAGAGAGAGTTCATGGACGGGAGGGCAGCCGCCAAAATGATGGTTAGTGCTCCAGTTTATTACAAATTCGGGTTTTTCCTTCTTTCTGCCCAAAATAGCTGATCATCGCACGTTTATTAATTGTGCGCAGTGCTCAAACTATCTTCTGGTGACGTTTTTAAATTCCACTAAATGTTGGCAAGAATTAAAAGCACTATCTCAATTCTATGGCTTTGTTTAGCTGGATAATCTGGAGCTGAAGGAAGGTCTGTACAAACTAGGATCGAGTAAGATCTTCTTCAAGACGGGAGTGCTGGCTCAACTGGAGGAGGAGAGAGACCACAAGCTCACTGATCTCATGATAGAGTTCCAGGCATACTGTAGAGGAATACTGGCCAGGAAGTAAGTTCTGTGGTTTCTTCTTTCATTTGGTCATCTGTCAATGTCCTGAAAATAGAGTCTAAATAAATATGTTTGACAATTTTCTCAATCGATGTTTTAGAAGACCTGGGACATAATCAGCAACATTTGAGGACACTTTTTTGAAATTCTGCCGTCGTAAAAATCCATGATTATCGCCCGTAGAACTGTTCAGCATTGTTAAATCTAATGTTGTGAAACTAGATGCGATGTTGTGAATGCTGATTGTGTTTTAGGGCTTTCTCTAAGCGTGTGGAGGCGCACAAGGCCATCCGCATCCTGCAGAGGAACTTTGCAGCCCACTTGAAGATGCGCCAGTGGGACTGGTGGAAGCTGTACGTGAGGATCAAGCCACTCCTAGGAGTGAACAGACAGGACGAGGAGCTGAGGGCCAAAGAGGGGGAGTTGAAACAGGTGGCGGAGAAGCTGGACAAAACACAATTAGAACTCACGGTCAGTCCACTTCTATATCTAATCGCCATGTTTGAATTAGAGTGGTAGATCACAAAATCGATGTATCACTAAACCGAAAAGTCCTGCTTCAATTACGTCATCACATTAGCTAAAAACTGAGCTTTTTACAAAATGACAAATTTTTTCTTCAAAACAAAAATTGAATTAAAAAATGGACTAAATAACTCTTGCCATGCGCCCCTTAGTATTAAAATTATTGCTCTTCCTCAGGAAACATTTATTCTATAAATACATGATTCTGCAATTGATGTAATTATTATGTAAATTGGTTTACTGATCTGGTAATTTACTGACACATCGGTTTACTGTACGCACCCCGTGAATTAGGTAGAGATAATTGCATTATAAAAAATCATCGATGCCCACAAAGGTGCGGTTTTGTATTGAAAGTCGACAAACAGTCCAGTTCTGTATTCATTGCGTTTATCAAACATGCGTAGTTTTCGGCATCAGTCATTTATGTTTTTCTCTGGAAAATAATTTTGAAAATATTAAAGAATTCACAGAGTAATTGTTTGCCAGGATACGACGAAGCGTCTCAGTTCGCTCGAGGAAGAGCGAAATACCCTGACTGAGAAATTAGCTGTAGAGCAGGAGACGGCAGCGGAGGCTGAGGAGCAGAAGAGTAGACTGAAGACGATCACGGAGGAGCAGACACAGTACATTGAGGAGCTGCAGATGAGGATGGAGGAAGAGGAGGAGAAGGTGTCCATGGCAAAGAAGGAGAAGGCCAAGTTGCAGGAACACCTCAAAGACCTGGAGGAACAGTGAGTGCTAGTGAAATGTTTGTTCTATTTTTCCATATATGTCACAACAGCCTTCTAGGGGTTGTCTAAGGGGAGGTTTTATAATTTGTTGAGAGTAATTTGAGAGAGCACAATCTTTCTTGTCTACACTTAGGGTTTACACTCGCAAATGAAAGTATTCGTTAAAAGTTTTCATTTGGTGGCACTTTTGTGATATATCCACGATCTGTAGCATTGGAATTTTCAAAGAATCTGTTCTCTGTTTTATTTGTGGCTAGTATTTATAGTTAAGCGTCCGTGGCTCAGTGGTTAGTGCGTGAGATTCGTAATCTCTAGGTCGCGATCTGTCGGAAATCGAATCCGACACTCAGCCAAATTTTTTTTTTACTAATTCGAGGCTCATTTCTACTTTTTCTTATTGCACTTAATAGAGCTGTTTTTTTTTTGTCGTGTTCTGGCTAGTCTTTGCGAAGCGCAGCTTCGACTCTGTTTGAAAATTTTATTAATAATTTAATGCTTGCAATTATCTAGTATGATCAAATCAGAACGACTTTTCTGAGGTTAACAACTTGTCCAAAACAATCCTTGAATCGATTGGTCAACTCTGTCACAGACTTAATTTTTTTTACACTACCGCGCTCTAGCGAGCGTACTGTAATAGTACGACTATTCTTTTTTTATAACCTAAGTAGCAAATATTGGTACCACTTTTAGGGCACCTTTACCGCTTTTTGATTGTGTATACTTTGACATTTTATCAGTAACAAGTTTAAACAATTGATGCACTTTGCTTTCCTCAAATGAACCGAAAAAAAAGTTTTTTTTTTCAAACTACAGTACAATAATAAAAACTCGATTTCAACAATTTTCCTCAGCTCAATATAGCTCGCATTATTTTCGAAATGCATTTTTATACATAACTTGGCTTTTTGTTTTACAATTTATTACATGCAAAGTTATTGCGGATGCCCAGTTTCTTATGTTGCAAATTATTACATGCAAAATTGTGTCTATTTGTATTTGGTTCCACTTTTGCTGTATGGCATTGGCAATTTATTAGCATATGTAGCTGCTTTGTTTGTGGCTAGAGTTTGTAATTTATCAGTGCTCGTAGCGCAGATGCGAGGAAAGGAGACAATAAATCTCCTGGTCGTAGGATCGATTTGTCCAGAGCTTATTTTATCTTTTTTTCTTTCACTTTGGAGCTACATTTTTGACCGTTGATTTTTTTTACTTCAATTCTAACTCATTTGTTGGAATGAAGGCGATTTACTATTTAGACTACTGTTACAATAGTCTAAATGGCTCGAAAAAAAATGTAAATGACTTCAAGGTTCGTGCTTTTAATTTTTAGATTTCCCATCGGAATTTTAGATTTCCCATCGGAATTAATTTTCGTCTTTCCATCGGGACTTGCCATCGGAATCTGAAGAGTCTTGAAATTCCAAGAGCCTTAACGTGAAGTATCATTTCCTTCGAAGTTTGAAAGCAAACCTTTTGAAAAAATCTATCTTTTTTTGGTTTTCTTGTTTGTTGACACTTTTCCATTCGAGCTTTCTGTTGGTTATGCTTTTTTGTTGGTTCTGCAAAAATTCAAAAACTAGAAGAGACGCGAATCACTGGACCAAAAGAGTAAAATTTGGTCACGCTCAAATTAGATTTTTCGCGTTTTATTTTTTCTGTTAGCTATGTCTGTACATTTGTTAGTTGGCAATGACGAGGCGAGGAAAATCAATATTACACATTGTGAGCGCGCTAAAAAAAATTTCTAGACATGCGACAACTAGGCAAAGTGTATCTTTTGTTTAGACTCGAAGAGGAAGAAGGCAAACGTCAGAAATTCGAGATCGAAAAGAACTCGCTGGACCAGAAACTTCGCAAATTGGAAGAAGACATCGCACAGATGGAAGACTCCAACCAGAAGTTGAGCAAGGAGAAAAAGATCCAGGAGGAGCGACTGGCTCAGATCTCCCAGAAACTGACTGAAGAAGAAGAAAAGGTGAAACAGTTGACTAAATTGAGGAACAAAAACGACGTGTCAATCAAGGAGCTAGACGAAAAGAGTAGCAAAGAGGAAAAATTAAGAAAGGAGTTGGAGAGTTCAAAGAGAAGGTTGGAGCAAGAGGTCAATGACCTTAGAGGACAAGTGGAGGATTTGACAGTGCAGCGGGAGGATCTGGCCACGCAACTGAGGTCACGAGAGCAAGACATCACAACCATTTCGGGTAAACTAGACGACGAAACAGCCTCTAGATCTGCACTTCAGAGGCAAGTCAGGGAGCTGGAGGCTAAAGTGTCCGAGTTGAATGAAGACATTGAGATGGAAAAAGAGTTGAAAGCAAAGCTGGAAAGACAGAAACAAGATATTGTGGAGGTGAGCGAGAATTGATTGTCTGCTTTTGTACCAGCAATGATTTCATTTTTTCTGTTGGAATACTATTATTACCAGCATGGATGATAAATTTAAATGAAAACAGCTAATTACTTTGGCGCGCTCGTTATATTTCTTTAAATTTTTCGATTGAAAATTAGAAGTTAAGTTCCAAATCGAATCACTGGAGCTTTGGAAATAATTAACATTATCAGCGTTTATCGATGTCGGCACTGGACTTGAGTATTAATTGAAACGTTGACTTTTTACAGGAACTGGAGACTTTGAAGACGGAGATGGAAGAAGCTGCAGACAAGGAGCAGTCTGCGGCCCAAGTGAGAATGTCACGTGAGTCGGAGCTAGTAACAGCAAGGAACCAGCTGGCAGAACAGGCCAAACAGAACGAACAGTCCCTGGCAGATCTGAAGTCACGTCATGCAAAGATCCAGGATGAGTTGAACGACAAGATAGACCAAGTCACAAAAGCCAAACAGGCAAGGGGCAGCTAGGTTTCATTTATTATGCTCACTTTTTAGAAATAAACTACGTGCTCAAAAAGAAAAAGAACATGAATATAAATTTGATGGAACAATTTCGAAAATGCTCAAAACTCCGGCTTTCGCGTTAGTATTAGCAACTGTTTTATTTGCACTTGCGATCAGCTTAAAGTATTATTACGAACCTTTTTTTTCTAACTTAACTCGCAAATAAAAGTGTTCAATTTTGGAAATTTCACAAGCATTGGAAATTGCATAGCATCTGTTCTCTGCTTTATTTGTGGCTAGTGTTTAGTGCCTATTAAGCTTCTTTGGCTGAGTTTTTAGTGTGTGAGACTCTCAATCTTTACTAATTCGAGTCTTATTTCTAATTTTTTATTATTGAACTTTTATATTGCTGCTTTTTGTCGTGTGCTCACAAGTGTTTGCTAAGCGAAGCTTGGCCTTTGTGTACAAGTTAAGAATTGAAATGGAAAGTTATTCGTCTGATTTTTTTGAGTTTTTGCATTGTTTTGCCCTGTATTTAAACCGATTTTTTAATTTTTTGTGATCAATATAACCACTCAAAATGGACAATTTTTTTTAAATTCAATATTCGTGTGTGCTTAACTGTTAGATCTCTGCCTGTAAAAGGGAGTTTCCTTTAATGGAATCACAAGCATACTTTATATTTACGTCCTAATGAATGTACACTTTATTCAAGGTGGCAGAGAAAGCGAAGGCGGCTGTTGAGTCCCAGCTGGAACAGACATCGGAGGAGCTGAAGAGTGTGCAACAGTCCAAGGCAGAAGTGGACAAGGCCAAGAAGAAGCTGGACACCCAGTTGACGGAGGAGAAGGCCCGAAATGCAGATGCCAACAGGGTCATAGAGTCACACTCGGGAAAGATCGTGTCACTGCAGGTACGGTGACTTGGTTGTCAGTTTTCACCTTCGCAGTTGCAGCATTCGAGCTTTGTCATTTTACTTGTTTTTATCAGCCCTCTTTCTGGGATTTTTAAAATGTCTGATATAAATACGGTTTTTAAATGTGTTTTTGTTCCGGGTTTTTTCAATATTAATGTGTAATAAGTATGGCTGGCTGTTTTTTTTTCCAGATCAATCAATCAGATACATTCTCGGAGATATTCGCTGGCATTTGTCAACTTTTGCATGTTATAGAAAGAGTGCGAGGCTCTGCAGGAACGCCTGGACTCCACTGAGACCCAGCAGAGCAGTGACAAGAAGCTTGCCAGTAAATTGGAGGCAGACCTGAACGAGACGAGTCAGCTGCTGGAACTGGAGACGAAGAGCAAGTTGGAACTCCAGACAAAGTGAGTCCTCTCTATCGTGTCTATTTTAGAGTTAGAATACTCATATTATGACAGTAGATTGTCTATGCAAGGTTAAATGTATTAAGGCTGAACTTTGCTTCTATCTGGGTTTTAATCAGAGCATGCCAATTATTGGTGTTGATACCTTCGACAATGAGCATATTGGTTGTTAGACTAGTAATTCCTTGCTATAAAACTCTTTCAAATCAGACTGTAAGCCAGGAAATGTGATTGAGTTTCAAGTAGCTCCTGTAATCATGTCTCAAATGTTGTCATGTCATGTGTGTAATTGTTTCTTAAATCATCTGCAGAACGAAAAGCAGGTACTTCTCAGTTTTTGACGACTGTTAATTTCTGTTCCTGTGTGTTACAAATACAAACTATTGAGCTTCTATGACTGAAAAAGTGCTCTAATTTTTTAAAGTGTTAATGAACCATTTATTCAAGTCTTGTGGTGTTTTTGAATTGGTTTTCTCAAATTGGATTGGCTGTATCTAGAGGTTTTAAGCCTTAAAGATCTTTAAATTGATGTGGATTTTTAAACACAAAAGCTAAAATGTCATTTTTTTGCCGTTTGAGTTCATTGACACTTTTCCAACTGCGTGTTGGCTTTGTTTATGAGGTGTGAAATGTTATCATGTTGTTTTGTGACTTTGTTTCAGACTGAGGTCAGCGGAGGCGGAGTTGAACATGTCCAATGAGAGATATGAAGACCTGGAGAACAGTTACAATGTGTTGGAGAAGAAACATCGAGATCTTCTGGTCGAGGTCAGTTGCGACGCAGTCATTAAGACACATTACGTTACTAAAAATAAAGCCCTTTTTCTGCCATTTGAGTTCATTAAAAAAAGTTTAAAAACTCAGATCAAAATGTCATCAAATCTTTTAAAATGGAACTGCAATGTAATCTTTTTCTGTTTATACAGTACTAAGTTAAACTATCTATCCGCATTTATCTCTAATTGGAATAGTAACTGTCCTGTTGTAATTGGATTCTTTCGTTTTGCCGGAATAATTTGAATCAGCACTGCATTGCAAGATTATAAAAAATGATGCGAGGTTCGCATTAATTAATTTCTGGCCGCTGATGTTAAAATGCCGTCGGTCTGAAGTAAGTATGTTACTCTGCGTACTATTCCACCAATTCGGTGCTTAAGCCGAAAGCAGCTCTTTTTAGGGACTCATATGCCAATTTGTGAATCCGGATCTTTTTGAGGGCCATACTATGGCAGATTTCCATTTTTTTTATCAAATCTGGTGATATGGTTTTTTTTCTGGGCGTATTCATCGTTTCGACTTTTGAAGAAAGAGAAGGAATATTTTTCTTTTCGAGCTTATTTTGTATGCCTTGACTTGTAAGAGGTGCTCCTAACTGTTTTTTTTTGTTTGTGTGCTATTTGCAGCTTGGCTTTTGTGTTGTGCATATTTGGTTGATGGTATAAGTGAAGTAATGTTGTGTTGTGTTGATTGTGTGCAGAATGACTCTCTGAGCAAGAAGGTGGACGACTACGTGCCCATCATAGAGATGCTGGAGGAGACCAAGAGGAAGGCGGAGAAGAGTAGAGACGAGGCCTTCGACCAGATCGAGGAGCTCAGGGCACAACTGGACAAGTCGGACAAGACCAAGAAACGATACCAAGCTGAGGTATGCCTCATGTCTTCCTTCGCTCACTCTTCCACGCTTTGCTAGATGAAGGCATTTTACCATTTGGCCTGCGTTGTACAGTAGTTTTTCAATAATTCCAAGTTAATAAACCACGGTCAAACCCCCCCCCCCCCCCTACCTCTCTTTACCCTATTTCGACTTTCGACAGTCAATCCTTAAACGAAATTTGTGAACTGTCCTAGTTTTAGCTCTGTTGTAATGATGCCCTTTTATTCAAATTTTAGTGCATTCGAATTTTGAAAAGTCGTTCCTTTTTTCCAGAACATTCATGTATTTTGTCTTTGAAAGCATTTGAAAAAAAGTTGCTCGAGTTTTGGAACTTAATTTGATGAAAGCGAAATCAAGCAGTTAGTTCAAAGCAGACGAAGTTGGATAAATTTGCATGCTCTTGGTGGATCCACTTTTTTCATGTCCTGATAAAGACGACCCAGTTTTAAGTGGCAATTAGCCCAATCAGAATTTATGAAATAACTAATTATTGATTTGGTGGATTAGTTTTCCAATCATTCCATTTACATGGATTTGACTGTTACTGTGTTTAGGTGGAAGACGTGAACAACGAACTGGTCACTCTGAGAGCCAAAGTGTCCGACCAGGATAAGAAGATTGGCAAGTTCAACCAGGTATGCATTGCAGTACTAAATGTTCATTGAAAGTATCACAAGCATGTCTAGTCAAATTATGAAGTGTGTGTGCTGATTTCAGCATCTGCAAGAAGAAGTGAACAAGGCTAAGACATTGCAAGATGCTAAAGAGCAAAGTGAAGCTCAGCTGAGAGACAGAGAATCGAAGGTAAGACCAATGTTCAGTTACTTGAGGCTTGTTTTCCTTAGATATACCTCGAAATGTTGTCTCACCCTGAAGCATCGAGCACGGATGAAAATTGTCACATCTTATGATAAGCCAGACAGCTAAATTTTCAAATTCTTGAACTTTAACTATTATGATTGCTGAACAATCAAAGAGTTTTTTCCCAAAATGTTGGTTTGTGCCTAAAAAAGGTGTGAAAATTGAATTTGAAGTGTGTTATTTCTTGTCTTCTCCCAGCTTCTGAACCTGCAACGCAACCTTGACGAGAGAATGGAAGAGATGCAAGACCTGGAGCGACAGGTGAAGTCTCTGAAGAACGACCTGGACTCCCTCTCCCAGACCCAGGGGGAGACAGGGAAGACGGCCATGGAGGCGGAGAAGGCCAGACTGGCGCTGCAGAGGGAGGTGGAGAGGCTGAACGAGGAGATACTAGCCATGGAAGAAGATCTCACCCAACACGAGAGGTACTTTTTAATACACCTATTACATTTTAAGGAACAAGTATGACAGGTCTTTAGTAAAGGCCAGCCTGCAAGATGGTAGGCACAAACTTGCAAAATGATCGACTGCGAAACTGATTATTTGCGTGTTTGGAGCGGTTAAGCTAGTATGACATGCAAACAAAAAGCGGGCAGCCATTGATCAGATGAGCATTAGTTTTATTTCCGCCATGTTTTCTACCAAATTAAGTCAAATAATTGGCGAAAAACGTTGTTACCAGGGATGCGACGAGCGCCACAACGGAACTGGCCGCAAAGAAACTCGAGTTCGAGCGAGCTCTGGCTGCGAAGGACCAGGAAGTGGAGGACAAGAAACGGGAAGCATCGAGGAAACTGCGAGCACTAGAAGAAGAGTTGGACGAGGAGAGAAGGGCGAAGCAGACTGCGATTGCGGGCAAGAAGAAGATGGAGAGTGAGTTGCAGGAACATGCAGATGCGATTGAGGCTGCTCACAGAAGCAAAGAGGAGTTCGCCAGACAGATCAAGAAGTACCAGGTGACGTTTCTTCCAGTTCTTTCAGGAACATCATAGGAACATGGGTTTTCCCTTTAGAGGAGACTTCCTGGTGAACTTTTGAGGTAAACCGTCAAGTAGTTATTGTTATCTTTTTCCTATTAAGATTTACATAAGCTATTGTTTTTCAAGCACCATACTTATGTTTAGAGGGTAGAACTTCTTGTTGAAGCTACTTGACATTTTGTGTCCGCCTGTGTGTGTTCTTTTAAAACATGATGTGAAGTTGTTGGAGTGAGTGATGTGTAATCACAAGTGGAGTCTGTGATGTGTGTTGTGTTGTGTAGAACCAACTGCGTGAGGTGCAGACTGAGAAGGAGATGGCAGTGAGTGAGAGTGTGGAGAGTCAGAACCAGAGCAAGGAGTTGACTAACAAGTTGAGGACCCTGGAGGCGGAGATGGCCCAACTGCAGGAGGATCTGGCCAACGGGGAGAGGGCCAAGAAGGCGGCCGAGAAGGCCAGGGACGATCTCATGGAGGAGATGGAGGCTAATGCCAACAACAAGTGCGTACATTTTAGTTGCCAACAACTGTTTCAATCCAGCACATCACGAGAGATGATGCGCAGAGGCAAGGATTCTAAGCTACAGTCACGGAACTATCGAAAGCTGACCAGTTACCTTTTCGATCAATTGAACTATCTCAAAATTATTCAAACTGTTTTTTCTTAAGTGAAACAAAAAGTTGCCAGAGTTCATGTTGGAAATTGGTTCTTAATCTTAGACCTTTGCTGAAGAATATTAGAAGGTTTTGCAATGAGCTTGTTTCTTGGTCTAATTACAGAAAAGAGTGCAGTTTGAAGCATCTGATTTCTACATGGTCTGTAGCATTTGTGACATTCAAGTGGCAACATATTTGTGTATTAGGGGCTTGGGCGCGGAAGAGCGTCGCCGATTTGAGACGAAAGTGGGCGAGCTGGAGGAGGAGGTGGAGGACCTGCAGGGATCCCTGGAGTCTATGACTGGGGAGAAGCAGAGAGTGAACCAGCAGTTGTTGACTGTGCAGGAGGAACTGTCATCTGCCAATGAGGAGAAACAGAAACTGGAGTCTGCCAAGTCTGCACAGGATAGGACTGTTAGTCGATCAAAAGTGTCCATATTGGCTTATTACCCTTGCGATAATATAGATTGGTACAATGAGATTGAATTGTTTTCCTTTTGCCCTTCAAAGTTTTTATATACGGAGTTTGCGGACATATCAAAATTAGTATCTTATTCATTTGTTGAGATTTAACTCGTCGCTCCTCGCTCGATGTAGTAAACCTAATCGGCCTTGCAAAATTTTCTTTGTCATTCAGATTTTTTTTCAAAGAAAAGTTGGTCGCCAAAAATAAGTATGAAGTTAACGACTGTGACATTTGTGTATTGTGCGTTCAGGTGAGAGACTTGAAGGCGAAGTTGGCAGAGATAGAAGACAACCAGGCGAAGAAGACCAAGGCAGGCCTCCAGGCACTAGAGGCCAAGAATGCCGCTCTAGAAGAACAGGTAGCCAGGCTAAATATTTTCGAACTTTCCAAGGATTCACCATCATTTGGTTTGGTGATAAGGCAACCAAATTGTTCATATCAATTTTAGAACCGAATGGAATTCTACTTTTCCCAAAAACGGAATTCTACTTTTTCGAACTGAATGCAGTGCAAGATTTTTCAATCAACGCATTTATGTTTTTATTTTGGTCTAAAACATGAGTTTATTCTGGTGATGCATGCCAGGTGCGTCTTGCGGAAGAGGAGAAAACGAACTTGACGAGAACGAACCGCCGGCTGGAGCGGAAGGCGAAGGAGCTGGCAGTGAGTGTGGAGGAGGAGCGGCAGAAGGCGTCGCAGAGCAAAGACGCCGCGGACAAACTGAACAGGAAGACACGAGTGATGCGGGATGAAATGACTAAACTGGAGGAGGATCTGAGCACGGAGAAGACGAACAAGAGGAGAGTGCAGCGCGATTTGGACGACCAAGTGGAGGCGAATGAGACTCTGACCAAGGAGTTGAACACCCTCAAAGCCAAGCTCAGGTAACACATGGAGGCGTGTTGGTTGGGGTGGGGCTAGGTCTAGTTTGTTTCGAAAAGATGACGAGCATGGTAGGTAGATATCGTTGACAATTCGCACCTCTTTAACTACTACCCCCTTTGGAAGGGTATGATCTCGTTACAAGGTGGGGGGGGGATGTTTTCGTTACTAAATACAAAGTTCGCATATGGTTTGTTCAATTGGTTCTTAAGGTTCATCGATCGTTGAACCTTGACTTGTTTGATGTAAACGATAGTCCCTCCGTTTTCTTAACGAGTTCCGCCAAAAATTTCTTTCAAAGCTTTACCCTGAGTCACTTTTGAAATATTCATAAAAGCAGTGATTAAACACCAGTCTAGTCTGTAAATCAAATCACTGAAACAGGAGTGATTAATTACATCGAATTCGTAGATGATAATCTGAGTGGGTCTTTACTGTTATGCTATGTACCAAAATGGCAATCCGTGAATCAGTTCGAACAGCTAACAGTTCTGATTGAAACTACAAAGAAAGCATCACGTATACTATGAATGCAAGATAAAACGTGTGCGCCAACTTGCAATGAACTTTGTTGACGTTTTCTCAATTCAAATCGCATGCTCAAACGAGACTAACGATAGACTAAGTTTACACGTCATCTCTTTTTGATCATCCAAAATGCAAAAATAGCTGTTGGAAAATTTGTATGCGTTTGTAGAAAAATATGTTTCACAAACTTGGCTGATTATAAGATCCTAATTATAGGTTCAGAAGTTTTTCAGAGTGATGATGTTTCATCTAAAGCTTTGAGATCTTTATTATGGCCCTAAAAGTTAATTTCAGCGTCTCAGTTGAAACATGTAGTTCGAGGTCGGAGCAATTCTCATGAAAGAAGGATCGACGGAGTGCGCTCAAGTTTTCAACCAATCATGATCTTTTAAACGTCCAAAAATTACTCATTTTCACGCTTACTTGGTTGAAATGTTTGAATTCTGATTGGTTAGCATAATTTTAGGGCACTGGATGCTTCTTAGCTGAGGTATAAAATGAAAGTAGAGTTTGTTTCGTTTAGTAGTGGCAAGAAAGGCGGAAAGCTATGACATGGTAATATGAGTATATTTATAATATGATTCTGGCATTCCATATTTCTCAATGGACCTGCTATTCTCTCTCACATGGCTAAAAGTGGTATCCTTCTGCACTTCCTCATTGTGTTTGTTCTACATCAATATCTGTAATGGGTCTGGTCTGATCTGTACAAGAATGATAGATGGGTCCCTCGCTCCCTCCCTCCCGCCCTAACATATGCAGCTGTGTCCCTACTCGCATGTACATTTTGGGGTTTGAAAAGACTAGCCAGTGATTATTTCACTTGCCAGAGTAAGTGCCATGTAATTGGGAAAGAGACTTTTTTACATTGAAAAACTCTTCTTACGTCAGCTGGCTTGGCAAATGCTGACCTAGTCGAGTGCTTTTCTAGAAGTTGAATTACCCTTTCAATTGAAAATAATGTTCGATTCCTACCGGCAACCAGTTTTGTTTAAAGTGATTTTTTTTCTTTAAAAAATAAATTGTCGGACTATCCCGAGTCTGCTTGTTTCTTGTTGACTGTAAGTGAAAACCGCTCTGTACTTAGTACATTTTTTAATTTTGTATAATTTCATTTTTTTGCTTAAATGTAGCTAGATAACTATAGCTCAATTTTTTGTAAAGCATCATTTTCGACTCATGGGCATCTGTCCGAGTAGTTTCAATTCAGGTCATGATCTATAAAGTGCTCTGAATGCTTATTTATTTCTGTAGATTGTTTTTTAGATTCGATGAACGTAGTTCAGATTCTTATATAGAATCTTATTTTACGCTATGAGAATTTTACGCTGGACATAGTTTTCTCGAAGTGAGTTTATTCAAGCAAATAGATTTGAAATTGTGAGAGATGAGTTTTTCAACTTTATGATTTTTTTTGTCTGCTAGCTTGTCCTGTTATGTTTGCGATGAATTGCAAGTGATGTGAGGATTAGCTTCGCCTTTGTGTAAAAATTTTATTGCAATATGTTTAATTGTTTTTACACTACCAATCGTAGTGTAATAGTTTGAATCTACTTTTTTTCCTACCAAAGTAGCAAAAGAAAGTGCTCACTTGGCGGGACTTTTGCGATAGTGCTGATTTGCTGCATTGGAAATCTCATATCATCTGTTCATGGCTTCATTGGTGTCTTGTGTTTGTCGATCGTTAAACCACCAGAAACCATTATGGCACTGATAGAAGGACGTGCGACCCCTAATCTACTTGTTGGAGGTTCATTGCTGCATTTTTGGTGGCATTTTGTTGCCTATCATTGGCAGTTTGTTAGCATCTGTATCTGCTTGTTAAGATTCGTTGAACTAAGTGATTTTTTGTTTTTTTTTCCAGGAAAAGGCTTTAAATTTGTTCAGGCTCAAATTTACTTTTTCGCGATTAGAATTTTTTGTTCAGTTCATTCCTTTTGTTTAAAGGAGGGCTAACGGCACTATGAAACGTCAAAAGTTAAAAGGTTGCGACATTCATGATCGACTTCTAGTTTTGAAAGAGGAGTTTTCAGATTTCCCAGCGGAATAAAAGTTCACCTTTTGATCAATTTTTCTCAGAGTGATTAAATTTCATCAAAAAATTTCCAATCATAAATTGTGCTTGAAATTCAGAAAGCTTGAAGTTCTTGTAATTTTTTACTTTGAAACTATAAACTTAAAGTGAATTAAAAAAACATGTCAGTTTTTTATGTTTCCTTGAGTCTTCGTTGACTCTTTTCCAATTATCTGTTGGCTATCTTTTGATGACTTGTGTTAGTAAGCTTTCGAGGGCACGTGGCGCAGATTCGTTGTGAGACTCCTAATCTCGAGGTCGGAGGTTCGAATCCGACACAAAGGAAAAGTTTTATCATTCAAGGCTTTTTTCTACCTTTTCTTAGTTTACTTTGAGCTGCTTTTGTCGTTTTCTCGCTTGTTTTTGTGAAGTGCAGCTTGGCCTTTGTGATTTGGCATGGTTGACAGTAAGGGACCCATCGGTCTTACTTCATTTTGTTGGGACCTATCTATCATGCTGGTTGGTACCATGTAATGCAAATCTGTATCTTGGTCATGGGCTTATTATGCGGGCATCACACATGCAAAACGGTTCAGACGTGCTTTCAGTCTTGGACCAAAAAGTTGAAATATTAATATTGCCTCATCTATCTGTTTGAATTCCGTTACTTCCGGTTTGGGTTAAGGCGGAAGAAGTTTTGGCTCACAAAAAATGTTTTGAAAGAAACCTAGCATATGTTGAAGGGTTTGATATATCTAACAGAACTAACTGCGCTTCAGGGCAGAGGGGAAATAAAATTATCGAGGAATAACGGATGTGGATTTGTACGCTTTGTGGACCTGTGTTGTAAGCTCTGTATGCAAACTCGCAAAGAACGAAAAGCCTTTTTGGTAAAGTAACTTTAAATATGGGATCAAGTTCACGAAAATTTCATTGTGAGTTAACAAAGCGTAGCTAGATTGCAATGTACAATTGAAATTGTAATCATACAAAGTTGTTTTATAGCTGAAGTTTTTGAATTTTGAGTGCGAAAAGGGTATGAGTTAAAACTCTAGTGTGGCTCAAGTGAATTAATCATAATTAAAGATTTTGTTGGGCTGCTGCTTATGGATGCATGTTCATGGCTAACTTGAGAACTAACGTGTGATATTTGAATGACTGACGATTGACTTTACAGGAACAGTACAATTGGAGTCGGAAGCGCCTCTCGAGCCAGGAGAACCAGACTTCCCTCTGACCCTGAAGACGCGGACGGAACAGACTAAATTATGCATAACAAGTCACCAAATTGCATGCATTGGCACCGCCACAGTTGTGTTTAAATTCCCTCCTTTCTTCTTGAGTGGCAACGATCACGTGATATCTTGCGATGATTGCTACTCCTCGCTTGTCTTTTGGGACAACAGCGAGACTAATCTTCAGACTACCTTGTGCTATTTGAAACTAATATATTCGATTATTTTGTAAATCCAGTTCGGTTAGATGTTGAACAACTTAATAATTGCATCATTTGCTTCAGTAGGTAAAAATAAACTAACAAATTCTTTTTATGTTGTCACCATACACTGCTTCGATCATTTCCAATTTATACTCTGATCTGATTTCTGTTCACGCCAAGAAAACTCAAAAAAGTAATGATGTAAATTATCGTGTACAAATGTGCTAGTTTCGGAATTTTTCGACATTCCACTGTTTTTGAAACCTAACATAGTCTATTTTTCACAAGTATTGAGTAATCCGAAGCCCTCTATCGATGTTTAAACTTCTTGCCAGTTTTGTGGAGAACTGTTGTATCAAAAATCAATTGATCCTTGCTGAAAATTTGGTTTTTCATCAAAAACATCTGAATGAAGTGGACGCCTCTTTGATACAACTGTTTTATTAGTTGAAATTAAATGTTTAAAAATGTACATTTTTTATTGTGGTTTGAAGTCTTGAGATAAAAACAACAGATGTTTTTGCGACTGCATGCTCCTGACGAATTAACCCTTCAACTCGTGTGATTAAGCGGTGAGTCCAGCATGCTAATAAAACTATTCAAATCATCAAAAACGAAACGTATAGATTTCGATAGAAAATTTGACATTTTTAAATGTGTATCTGCTTCATTTTGTAGCTTGAAAGCGAGAAACTCGGGACTTGAAGTTTTGAATTTTGGACTGTATTTTTTGAATTTTACTGTTTGCGAATATTGAAAGTTACTGTTTTTTGACTAAGCAAAATCTTTTCTGTAAAGTGAGTGTGGCTCTTTTCTAGTCAACAAGATGAGCAGATTGAAAGTCTTATTCTCGCCCAAACCTTCCACCCGGGAGGAGCCGCGGGAACCTCTCTCAACGCAACCCCGAACGACCCGCTCAAACTGACGGCAATGAAATCGACCCGACAACGCAGCAGCTCCATCGCCGGATCCCAATTCAATGCACAACTGGCGCTTGCAGCCGCACAGCCCGGAGCCTCTGGGTCCTCGGCCCTGAAACAAATTATGGCGGGAAAAGCTGCAGCGAAGCACTTTGATATAGATGATTTGGCATCTTTCCAGCAAGAACTGGCATCAGCTTCCGATTCGAAAAAGAAAATGTCTGTGCATCAACTAAACGACCACACAGAAAGTGCCGAAGAGTTTTGAAGAAATCTTGAGTTGTTTTTATAATATTCAGTCGAAGTTTGAATTAGTGTGCTGACGAGTGCTTCATTGCTTAGCTTATTTAGTTCGATGCTCAAAAAAGTTGTATGGTTGATGTTTTCTTTTAGTTTTTTTTTCACAAAACACTCGTTTTATACTCGAATATCAATGTCATCTTTTCCAATAGTGAAAATTTATCGATCATTTTTCAACTGATTTCTAACGCTCACGTTAATTAGGAAGCTTGGCCCGATTATTTGATGGCTAAGTTGTGGTGTATCTTTTAATTAGAGATACCTTTAAATGTGCCTTGATTTTTGATGTTCACTCAACTAACTGTTCCCTTATTTTTAATCAATTCCAGTCGTAACAGCTCCATGGAGAAGACTGATTTAAGCCATTGCTTTTAATTTGGTCCAATGTAGATGTAAGATATGATAAATCAGCAATTGCAGAATCAGTGTTGATACTATACAGATGTTCTTCATGCAAGTCAGCAACTGAGTTGTTGTAGTGCTGTTTCTTACTAATTATAGTTGAAATAAAAATAAGTGATAATTTATATAATTCATTGGTCAACGCCCAAAACAAATTTTCTAATCCGTGTTTTTCATTCTCACTAAACTAGATATTAGCTATGACAGGCTTCAGATTTGGAGGAACTATCAGTAAAGATCCTTGAAGGCATTGGCGCGCTCAGTTCTTCTGGAGGAATGATTCTGAACACTTGATGGACACTTGTTCAGGTCCTGTTTTTCGGCAAGTCTTGAGAATGTGTTCACATCTTTTGTTTGGCAGTCTGACTATTGAAGCTTGATTTGAAGTTAATTTGACCAGCTGAGTTCAAAACTATACTTGAACTGTTGAAATTGATATTCATTTGATACTTGAGCAAACGCTTTCAGTTTTCTCCTACTTTCAGTCTTGTCTTAGAGATTTTAGTTCTTTTCCTACGCTTTTTTTGGTACATTTTTACATGTTATGTCGAATTTCTGTGTCCAGTTTTGTAGCAAAATTTGCATTCCCGAACTGTAATCGATGCTAAGGATATTAATACAGGGTATTGTAAATCTGTGTGCCAAGGAACGTAGTGAACAATATGCTTTTTTATGCCGTGTGATTTCTTAATTTTTTCTGGAAAATTGAAATTTGATCCCAGTCAAATTTGATTTTTCGTGGTTTGACCTGTTATTAAAAGGGACGTTTGGAAGACTTTTTATATAGGTGTTGGTTGTTTGTTTCTTTTTTGAGGTAAAAGTCTTTGAATGCTCTAATAACTAGAGGTGCTTTCATACATATTAATGCAGTTATGAATGAACTTCTAAAATGTGCATTCATAAATTCATTAATACGCATTTTTTGAGTTCAGTTTACATTCATCTGCTGACAGTTAGGTAAATTGCTCTGTCGAAATACGTGTGTGTAAATTGCGAAAATATACGCAAACTACTATTTTCGACAGTGGAATTTAATTTTAAATTTCCAAGCGGATTAGAAAATGTTACCTATTAATCAATCCAGGTTTAAGGCCATATATTTCAACTTTGAATTCGAAAGATTTTTTTCAAAAAAGTCGGTTTTTGTTCTGTTTCCTTGCGTATATTGACTTTTTCCGAACTGTCTGTTGGCTCTGTTTTCTTTTAAAATTCAATTTAAGTACATTTGCTAAAAGGAAGGCAAATTATGCTCTCCAGGAAAAAAAATTGTTTGTCGCGAAAAAAAAACGAGAATTACTTAGTTTTGAAGGTGGATTTCAATTATGAGAATTTGCAGCGGAATTATAAAATTAACCATTGATTAGTTTTCTAATTAAATTAGCTTAATGGAATTAAAATATTAGAAAAGATTTTTTAATTTCATAAAGTTTGATGTGTTTTCGAAAACTGATGAATGTTCAAAAAAGTCATTCATCTTTTCCAGTGTGTTAAGTTCATTGACACCTCTGAACTGAATGTTGATGTTGGCATTGGTTAAGTTCATTTAGTACAAATGAAAGCGAATGACGCTCCCCAAAATTATCTGAGTAAATGGAATGATAAAACGTTTTAGATCAAGTTTGTAACGTGGAGTTCTATTTCTAGATGACCCACCGAAAAAAAAATCAGATTTTTTACCTTTGCGAGAGCAAGCGCTTTGTAATCGGGAACTAGATTGTTTTTCCATAAAACAGTTTGAAGATTTCTTAGAAAATCATAACCAAATTATGTTGTTTTTATTGAAAATTTATTGAATTTTTTTGCTGGCTTCAATAATGCTTTTTATGGTATCGAGGTATCAATGCATCCGACTTTATAAAAAAGATTACATAAATGTTCGAAAAGTTTTTGCACACTTATTTCACTTTTTGACTCTAAGGGAGTCTACTTGATTTTTTTTAGATCTTTTTGCCGCAGTTTTGCCCCTGAAGACTGCCAAGTTATCAATAGGTGTCAAAAATTGTCCTAAGATAATTTTTCGGTGCGTGAAGTTTTCCAAGAAAAAAAATTTTTTTTTTCACTTACCACTGCTGAAAAACGAAATAATTTTTTTTGTCCTTTTTCATAAGTACTTTTCAAAAAGACGTTTTTTCTCAAGCATTTTGAAGCGTTGGTTCGATACTTCTTTTTGAATAGTTTTTCTATGACACCCTGCTAATGATGTAACTTTTTAAAACCTTTTGTTTCAAAATCTCATTTAAAAAAACTTGTCGGCTGTTACAGAAGCAGGGTCTTTTTTGTTAATGCTTTGAGTAATTGTAGCTCTATTTAAAATTTATCGCTATATATAAGCATTGTGTTGCAAAAGCTAATTGTATTTCAAGAAAATTGCCTGATTTTTTTGTTGATTTCTATTTTTGTTGCCTACTGTTTTTTTTAACTAGAAAAAAAGAGAACCCTTCGTCCTAGTGTCATTGAAGTTATGATTTTGCTTCATTACAAGAATGTATCGATTGCTTACTCTATAAAGCCTTTAATATTTTGGTGAGGATCAGATTAATTCATTCGTGACTTTTGATTGCACAAGCGATCAGCTTAGTGTCTTCTTACGAATTTTGTTTTTCCAACTGAACTCGCAAATTAAAGTGTTCACTTATTTGGAAATTTCACTGTAACATTAGAAATTGCATAGCATCGTTTCTCTGCTTTATTTGACTTTTAATCTCTAGGTAGCCGGTTTCGAATCTCAGGCGTAGCACTTTATAGAGCAGCTTTTTGTGTTCTCGCTTGTTTGCAAAGCCAAGCTTCGCCTCTGTTTTTTCAATACAGTTCAGGTTCTTCATTTTATCGAAGATAAGTTCGGTTTTTGAATGACCGAAATCCAAATTGTGTAAAAAGCGTAATTGGCTTAGTTTCGACAATGGATTTTTAATGTTTAGATATCCGGAAAAATGTTGCTGACTGGTCCGGTTTTCACAAGTTTGCCTAAGTCTATCGAGTTTCAACCATAAAAGATTATTGAAAATCAAAGATCTTAAAGGATCTTGAAACTTCCAACCCTCGGTCGTTTTTTTTTGCTTCGCCTCTATGTTAAATTAGAGTCACATTTATCAAAAAAGAGTCAATCATCAAAAAAGCGGTATATGAAATTAAAAGCCATATTTTTTTCATTTTTTTTGTTGTACTTTTCCAGCTCTTAAAGTAAAATCAATTGGTTTTCGCGTGTCTAGTTCTAAACTTGCTTTCAAGAAGAAAATTGTTGTTTACCCTTGCGATAAGCAAGGGTATTGCTATCGGTTACTAGACTTGGCAGTAAATAACTTTGTTCACAGGATGACTGAATTTTTGGTCATCTCTACTTTCTTCAACGAACAGGCGATGGAGAACTGACAGTTTTTGAGCATGCCTGCAATTTAATATCCTGTTCTATTCGAAAATTTTTAAAGTTGATTTCAGCAAATCAGATTTTATTACATCAGTTTTTGTTTTCGTTTTATTATCTTATTCGGTTTGAAAGGTGGCGGCTTAAAATATATTGTTTTAGAGGCTTTTTTGGGAGGCTTGAGGTGCAAGCAACTCATCTTTAAGTGTTTTGAGGGGGGGACTTAAATACGTTTTGAGTTTTTGAAATTTTTCTAACAAAAACATTTTTTTCGGCGCAACTGTCTGCTCAAGAATTGTCGGTTTTTTTACTACGTTATCCGTTTTTTATGTTTAGTTAAAATTCAATTTTTTATACTTTTCCGTATTTTCATGAGAGAAATTTTTCGATAAGAAAAAGGAAAGTTTTTGGTAGATCAATTTTTCGATATTTTTATTTTACGGCTTTTCATCTCTATTTTTATTGGTTTGTTTGTCCTGCTTTATTTGGGTTTTATTGCATGTAGCGCGAGGCGAATTTCTAAATGGGCGGTTATTTTAGTTCCAAGATTTTTGCAAAGGTTTTTTTCGGATTTGCCAAATCATCTAGAACTAGTGAGTAACATTCATTTTCCTATCTCAAGTAGTGCGAAGCTTTGCTTTGCCTCTGAGTTAAATTTTCCGTTCATCTGGTTTTTTAATTGGGTCATAAACGTTTGATCTAATTGAATTGCCGTTAATATGAATATGGTAGAATGTAATTTAGTCTCATAAGAAATGGGAAAATTCGTTTTTGATTAATTGTTCATTCAGTTTTCCAAATGTCTTCAATTTTGGTTATTTTTGAGACTGCCCTCTCATTGAGCGTTCCTGATGTTAGTTTGTCGATAAAGACTTTTAATTGGAATAGTTCAAGTGTGTCTGAATTTCAACTGGAATAATTAAATATTTGTATTGCCACTTTCAGATTAATAGTTAGGTGGAGTGATGAGAGACAAGTGGAAGAAGAAGCGAGTGAGGAGGCTGAAGAAGAAGAGGAGGAAGATGAGGGAGAGGTCAAAGTAGGAGAGGGGAGAGAGAGAGTCAGAGACATCGTTACAGGAGACACACACCACTGATTCATACCACTATAGTAATTCACTCTACTGAAATACGAATACTGCCAAATTCACAAATTAATATCCAAAATGACTCTCAGAGAAGACTTGAACTGCATCACATCACCAGCCTGAAACCAAACAACAAACTTCACTCAAAGACACTTCCATGCCGCAACAGTTGTTTTTGAGCTGAATAAGGCATCAATTCCGAACTATTTCACCGAACTGTACTCGAAGATGCCAAAATGAAGAACATAGCTAGCAGAGCATGTACAAAAGAACAAAGTGGACTATGTAAAACTGGACTCCCTTGAATTTCCTTGTTCTCGTTAGTCTTACGGTCTCTTAGCGTTGTAAATACATTGTGTCATGTGTTTCATATGCGTTTCATAGTTTGTCATTATTCGCTTGTGCAAATTGAAAATTTGTTTTGCTTTTAATTAAAAATTGTGATATCAATCTTTAAGATCGATTCTGGCCGTCAGTTTCATTGGAAAAAACTTTGATTACAGGTGTTGTGCTTTTTTGACAGGAAACTTGACATGAGGCCTCTTTTTTGTGATATGAAAGGTAGTGAATATAATGAATGGAGACTTTCAGCAGTCTTGAAAAAAACTATCAAAAATTTGCTATTCAGTTTTTTTTATACGGGTTAGACTCAGTTCAGACATAATAATTTTAGATAGAGGCAGGTAGCGTAAGTTTTAAAGCTGCTTAAGCTAAACAATTTTTAAAAATTCGAATATAATTATCCGGAAAAGTTGGTAAAAGAAAAAGGAGAAGCTCAAAATAAATCATTCGAAGCTGCAAATGAAAAAGCAAATCAGAAAAAGCATTTCTGATACTATCACAAACGGGGTGACCTTTTTAAAGAGCGGAAACCCTGTAATGTATTTCGCCGAGTTGCTTCAAAGGCAGCAATATGCAACAACTAAATTTGTATTGGCTCATTTGAGAAAAAATTACACATTCAGTTGTGTTCACAATTTTTCTGCAGCTCAGTGTTTTCGAGATTTTAATTATTTTGAGCTATATCCGATCAATTAAAGCGAGTTCATTGACATTTGCTTAATTCAAATCAGACTCTAAAGTTCCTCAACTATAGCCCTGTGGTTAGTGAAATTTATTTTATAAGGAAGTTGCTGAATTCAGTGTTGTGCTACTTATTCCTCTGGAGAGCTTGTTTTTTCAGTGCTTATTTTTGTTTTTTTAATTGGATGTTTACTTTTGCGAGAGCAAATATCTTGTAATCGGGACCTATAAGTTTTTTCCCCTAAAACAATTTTCTTACAAAATTACTTGCTTTTATTACTTGATTAACCAACTTCCAGGTTCGTTCCCACTTGGCTTAGAAGTAGTTCTTTAGGTCTGGGGTTCGAGTCCCGGACTGAACTTTTTTTTCGGTATGAAGGAAGCTGAAAAAGTTCTGGGAAAATTGAAAAGGCCGACTTTCGCTTGTCAGCTTATATTATAATCGTAAACTAATCATAATCGTAAACTCATTACTAATTCTGATAAATTTAACTTCTTTTCATTTTTTTTTGGTTTGAAGAGTTCTTCCCTAGTATTGTCGTTGATGTTTCGTAAATTTTGTTTCCAAGTTGATTTAAGGCAGGTTTCGCCCATTTTAGAGATTAACGTCTAAAGTTTTTGAAAGAAATAATTTAGTCAACTTAATATTAAACAAATGTACGACTAAGACTTTCGTTTCTTTTCAGTTGGCTAATTTTTCATATTATTTTGTGGTGGTACGCAAGTGCAGTCAAGCTTTGTTATTGAGTAAATAGGTTGATAACTTCTCCTAAGAAGTCTTTTTATCAAATTTCGTGTAAATCCATGTAAGTTTTTCATTTATGTTCACAATTTCATTTGGTTGCTTTGTTTTAGAATGATTTTTTTCCTATTCAGCTTTTTTAATCATTCGTGTGTGAGCGTTCGTTTTGATTCGATTTTCTCTAGATGATAGAAAATAGTATTTTCATCGGAATTTCTAAATTTGTGTGTATGTGCATGCGTGTGTGTGAGTGCGTGTGTGAATGTGTAAGTTAGGTTTTATTAATATATATTACAAAACTTTATTAAAAAAGTCGAATTCGAATCATGGGTCAATCAGAGTCGAATAATGAGTCGATAGAATCGAATTATGAGTCGAACAGTGTCAAATCATGGGTCGAACATGTTCGAATAATTTGCCGCATTGCTGGTTAGCGGCAAGTTATGCAACTCAAAATCATTCCAAGTTTATTTGAGACCTGCAGTAATTATAACGCTATTAGACACTAAATTTATCTTTTGTATTGCATGTAGGGAGATTATTTAAACATTTTCATTTTTTTTCTCATTTAATTGTTTTTTTTTTCAAAAGTATCCACAACTTTTCCGAATCAATAACTTCTTTGAAATCTTTAGGGCTTTGTCTTGATGCAAAGTGTTTTGTTGTTCTGACTTTCAAAGAAATTGACCAATCGTTTGAGCTCGAGTAGTTTTTCTCTAAACAGACGAAAACTGGCTTTTTAACCTGCTATTTCTGCCAAAGTACTTGATAACAAACTAAGCCATAAGGTTTGGTCGGCCAAAAACGGATAGCATAGACTAATAACTAAGGGAGACTAATATCAAATAGGATTTTGGCGATCAAATTGTGTTCCCACTCATTGAAATCAGAATACTAAAGCTTTTTGTCAAACTGCACATTTAATTCATTTAATTAAATCTATGTGCATTTTTAGTTTGCGCTTCTAAGTGCTTGAAATTTTTGTTCTTGCTTTCTGATAAATGTTTTTTCAGGTTTTTAAGGTGTGTTGTCGTGTATTCATTTTTTTTCTCGTTAGCACACTAGTAGCTATCTTGAAGGCGACAATTTTAGTCTTAGACACAAAAATACGGGACCCTTTGTTGACTACTGTCCCATGAGAGGACTTCGAGAGCTATTTTTAGCTAGTTCAAGTAGGTTTGTAGGTATTTGCCAACTTTGCAGTTCCCCAATTTCACGTTTCAATGTGGTTCTCTTGCCAAAATTTTTCACGAAAATTGTATGTGTCACAATTTACAATGATATGAAACAAATTTATTTTGATGTCAATCGAAGATTTTTCCTTGATAAAAAATGTATAATCTTAAGTCCGACCGTTTATAGAAATTGCGGTTTTATACGCCGGCAATCTTAAAAGGAACTATATATGGTGCAGCGTGTGGTTCCACAATTTGGTCAAAACGATTTTGGTCATTTTGGATCGATCTTGTAATGATACTGTCGTGATCTTTCCAACGGAAACTTTTTTGGAACCGTAGAAATATCTAGAAATTTCTTGCTGTGTCAAAAATAAAAATCAGCAGCTTTAATGGTCTTTTTGCGAGATTTCATAGAGGATCAAAACAGGTTAAAAAAATTATGAGTTGTTGGTTATCGGAGGTAGCCTTTGATGTCCGTCTGAACCCAGAACCAGTTTGGGACTATCTGGCTGTGTTTTGCCTCTAGCTTTTGGAGTGAGGGCATCTTGTGGAATAGTGCGAGACACTGACAAGTAAGAACGTGGGTGTTTCGCTCGTCCCGAACTACCTAGCGTCCGAACCGGTGACCTAGAAAACAAATTCTGATATCTTTCAACAATTATGAAAAGTGATCATCAAAATACTGATCTATGTAACATACGCATACAAATCTAATTGTAAACTCTTACAGAGCGCCACATCTCGAAACCTTCTGATCTGATGTTTGCTACAAAAAATATAAATTGCATCGGCATTTTTGCTTTATGCTCTGTGTTTGATTGTATGTTATAATATTGTAACTTGGAGGTTATTAGTTGAATCGCTGAAATAGGAATAAAAAGTAATAGTACAATACGGAAATGGACTAAGAGAGGATGGAAAAGTGCCTCACATGATACTGTTGTGGTCCATCATGAATCTATTGATGTCCAGTTCAAGCATTTTTGGTGTGTTCCAGGCATGGTGAGGCGATGACAGCAGCATGTTGTCCTCAATCACGTTTTCGGCCACTGAGTCCATCTTCTAATTAAAAAAACAGTCATTTAAAACCAAACATACCAGTTTTCTAAGCCGAATTAAAGATAAGCCGTGCGTTTAGAAGAAACTTACCTTCCAAGTGGGTACTTGTGTGTAGTCGACGGCCATCAAACCAGCACCTGTCATTTCATTGTTCACGTACCCAGACTCTGTCTAAAAACATTTCAAGTTTCAGTCCAGAACTTGATACTATGACACACCAGCGGATTTAGGGGGGAAGGGGGCTGGGGGCTGACGCCCTCTCTCAGGGATTCAACCCCCTGCAGACCCAAAGGATCCCCTTTGTACTATTTTGAGATCCATTTTTGGCTGATGGACCCTAAATCTTTTTTACGGGCTCTTTCGTCGCCAAAATATAACTAAAGTTGAGGGGGGAAACACGCGCCGAAAAAAACCGCGATTTTTTGGTCAAAATTTTACAAAAAGTGCCTAAAAACGCCTTTTTTCAAAAATTTGCCTGCGGCGCAGAAAATTTCGGCAAAACAGGGTCTTTATAGTGATTTAGTAGAGCTCAGAAAACAAATTGGTGGACGACCTTAAAAAAATGTCGACTAAATGTCGACTTTTGTGAAAATCCCCCCCCCCCCCCCCCCTCGAAAAAATCTTAGATCCGCCGCTGCTATGACAGTTAATTTTTTCGGTAAAATCGGTGCAACTGTGGCGTATTATTCAGCTTTAAAAGTAAAAATTAGACTTTAAAAACTTGATTGCATAAAATGCTACTGTTTTCGATCATCTGGATTGAAGCACAGAAATTTAGTATGAAATTTGTCTTAGTCGACCAGCCAGAGGTCTAAGCCGGAGGTTAATTACGTCCGAATGATACAAAAATTTTCAAAACATCTTTGTTGGTTGTGAGTTTAGGTCCGCGGTGGCCTTCTCATAGAGTAATTTCGGATAAGGTACCCCGTCTGTTCGTCACGCTGTCTAATTTTCGGCCGGATAGATTCGTTAACCTTTTGAGTCTAATACCGATCCTAATCTTACTCTTATATTTCCTAGTCTCAATAGATCTAATATATACTGGTATTGTTGCGAAGTTAGAGGAGAGAAAGAGCAACTGCTTTCTAAGTTAAGTTATTTCTTCTCTGACTGAAACTAATTAGTTTTAGCTTTACAAATTATCATAAGTTTTAGTTATGGATCATGATTGGTTAGTTCTGAATATTTTACAGTGATAATTATCAAGAATTAAATTGGAAATAAAAGTTACTCGTTTTGAACAGGTTTCAGGTGCCCAAATAGCGAAGTCGACACTTAGTTCCCTTTCAGAGGAATAAAATTAGTAAAATCATATTTCAAAGTTTCTTCGTTCACTTACTTCGTATATGTTTGTCATCGGAAGAAAAGGTCTGTCCGTGCCCATCGGAGGTTCTGGCACAAACTGGGGGTCTAGCACTTTGGGGGGTAGCGCAGCAAGACGTTTCTTGTGGGGTTGATGTGTGGTTGGGGGTTGGGGTGGGGGCTTACTTTCTGATACGTCAGTTAGTTCCATCTCTGTCAGGTATTTTCCTGACCCATCTGTCTTCTTGCGGAGCCTAAACAATTTATTCGATGAGAAAAGCAGTTGGAAATGAAAATTAACGAAATAATTAGAAGCAAACACGATGAAAAATGGACTAAATTTTAGAAAGTATGATTCTCATGCATGAACTAGCTGATAATTTATTACACGATCATGCATTGAGACAGACTACAAGATCCACTTACTCTGGGAAAATATTTATCCAAGGCAGTCTGAAATTAGTTCAGCAAATAAAGCTCAGTTAGTTTTTCAAAAAACAATTTTGTCGATCCGATATAGTTGATGTGGCAACAGAACTGCGTAGTAGGAAATGGGGAAAAAATAGTTTTGCTCATTATTAAGTAACGAAACTTCAGTAAAAATATAATTTTGCCCTAATTTGTCCCGACAAACAGCCAAAAATTTCAGAGAAGAACCCCAAACTGAAGTTTGTGATGAAAAGTCCTGCCAAACTCATTCATGCGTGGGTAAAATCACTTAGTCAAACAACTTTTCAAAGTTCCGAATCAAAGCAAGATGACTGTCAGAAAACTCTAATGCAAAACGTTCAAATTTGTTTGTTTTTGCACATAGAAGATGAAAACTGAAGTTTTATATAATTACTTTCTTAAAAGTTGTTTAGTTACCAGAAAAAGTTTGAAACAGCGTTTTTAGGGCAAAAAAAAACTTTTTCCGCTCTCAGATGCACAGAAAAAAGTGCATATATATTTTTAAAATCCTTTTCTATGTCAAAATTTTGCATCAAAATTTTCAAACATATGAGTTTGCCCCCTGACTTGGTATTTTATTCTGCTGCTATTTTTTATTTAGTTTAGTATATATTTTTGTTCCGACTTTCGATACGAAAGTAACGGAATATTTGTGCTCGGGGTGGGTTTTTTTTCTTCAGACAAATTTCGACTTTTTAACTAGCCATTTTTGACGGAATTTTTTAATACCATTCAAAAAGTATTGTTGTCCTGAGCTTAAATTTGAAAAGATATTTCACCTGTGATCATTTTTCGTAGAGTTATGAGGGTTTAAATATTGCCATTTTGGCCATTTTGAGCAATTTGGGACAATTAATGCGCGATATGATTCGCGCTATTAACGCGTAAGAGGAGATTTAATCCGTCTTATAAATCGTTCCAAATTGGTTGAACGAAGCTTATTTGCCATAATTGATTTGTTACAAGGAACGAAATCTCTCTTTTTGTACTCTATATGGCGTGTGGGGGCATGATTTCCATAAAAAATTTCAAATTTTAGAAAAAAAATTTCATTTTATTTTATTTCATTCAATTTTTTTATGTTATTACTGCTGCTCCATAAACCTTAAAAGGCAGTCGGAACATTCAGGGCTTTGCCCTGATACGAGCAGTCTTGTTTGTTTTGATAATCTACCACACTTCATATTAGATCCTCGGTTTATTACGAGTAAAGTGTTCTTTTTTGAGTGTGTATTCTGCCTGACTGCCTGTGAATAAGGAACGGTACTGACTTGGCTTTGTATGAGAACATGGGTTTGATGAGGAATATGGAGCCACTGCTCTGCTGCTCTATCTGCTCCAAGTCCTTGGTCAACTTCTCCGCCGCCTCCTGTCTCTGAGCAGCCAAGCCCGCACTCACCGCACGCCACTGCGAGTCACGCTGCAGACAAAAACACAATCAACATGTTTAAAACATACACCCCACAATTTGAACACATGTCAATTCTCTACCCTTTTTTAATTCCTGTAAGACCGCAAAGTCATGCTAGAGAAAAGAACAGCAGGGAGGCTTAACACTTTTAGTTTGCATTACAATTTTATCTAATATGATTAGAAATTTTTAAAAACTCCAGTTGCATTTTTATTGCATGTCTTAATTATGGAGCTTAAATTGCTAATTTGGCTCACAACTGGAAATGAATAATCATTTAACCTCTTGTATAAAATCAGCTTTGTTTTTCATGAATCTTGACCTTGACTTACATTGGAGCTACTCTCCCGACATATCGAATTAGTATTTCTACTGTAAATTCGATCAATTGCAAAGTCGCCGTGCACAGCATCACCTTGCGCTTATAGAGGCTTAGAATTGTACGCTACAATAGTGTAATGGCCCAGTTGAGTGATTATTATACTAAGCTGAACGAATCAGGACAATCAAAGTTAAGAGATAGTTCAAGTTTTAACGTCATTATCGATACTTTCCAAAAAACCGACATTTAAGTCTTGATATACGAGTAACAACAGCTTTGCCTTCTCCAATGACGTTTATAGTCCTCGTAGTGCATTTGCACGAATTCAATTTACTAGGAGATGACCATTTCCCCGGTGATCTCAAAAGTTGCACTGTATTAAGATTAGGGATAACACATTTTTTGTACCCGAAGGTGAACAATGGTGCAGAATCCGGAAATTCCGAGGCGGATCAATTTCCTAGCGCCCATAGACCACGCATACGATGTCGATCCATTAATCCACCTGTTGCCACATGTATTAAGATAGGCTATACAAAAATTGGGGGCCCTTCAGCACATTTGGGCTATAAATTGGGGGCTAACAAATTTTAATGACGATCATCTTTATGGCTCAATTAAGAAAAACATGCAACCTTACTATACCGGGATATTAAAACTTCCAGAGATACAGGGCTGGCATATTCCCCAAGTAAATAGTCCCATCCCGGACTTGCGAAATTTTTTCTTGAGCCCCACTGAACGCAGTAAGCCAATACTTTGGGATATGATAGATAACAGCTAGATATGTCGTCTGACTTCAACCGAATCTGACGGTGTGACCCGAAGTTACTTGCACTTGGGTAAAATACCCCTTAGACTACAAGTGGGCAATCTACGCAAACTAATGAGGGAGGGCATTTTGATTTTACGGCAGTAATCGACATTAAAAATTCACCCCCAGAAAAAAACTCCAAGTGACCCGAAGCCCTCCGACGGCCCCTTGTGTTGTTATTAGCCCTCCCATGGGAAAACGATAACGGACCTCTAAAACTGTATAACTTGGCAACTATTAATGGGATATGGATGAAACGTGGTATTTATCCCCGGGTGACCTTTAAACGAATTTTAGGCTTTTCGACCAAAATTAACACCGAAATGAAACTGCATTGAAGAAAATTAGTTCGAGAAAAAAATGCCAGTAATAGATGTGCGGTATTAGAATTTCGTCCCCTAAACAACATGAATGGATGGGATACTTACTTACTTCAATTTTTTCGCTTAATTTGACCTGTAATACCAAACTACGTTACCCGACGTTACTAGAAGGTTGGGATGCGATTGGAGCAGAGATGGAAATTTTAGATGCTTGAAATGGTTTAATGACCCATGAAAAAAGTCATCCCCTCCTCCGGAACGTCAACGGAACATTTAAACAAATAATTTGGAGAATGGTTGAATAAACATAACTTGATTAAGAGGTGAAGTTGAAATTGATATTTGCACAACTTAGCCTCAAACTAACTCAAACTAAATTATTGCAGAGAACAATTATTGCAGAGGCAGTAGATAGTGAGAGTCGAAACAGTTGGTTCTCAAAGTTAGTTCGATTGTATTCTGGTCACTTAGAGCCTTCTATATTTGGGTTTAAATTTATCTGAATTTAATTACTATTGGAAGTTCGAGCGATGGTGCGTGAGTACGAGCGATACAGCCACAAGAGCAGTGAAAGAAGGGGCAAGCAACTTAGTACCGTACAGTATAATTGTCACCAGCTTAACCTCTTCGGGATTGTGGATAGTAGTGAATCTCGGTCGCCCCGCTGAATTCACTAGCCAAGGGACCAATTTGCGGTTTTGTTGAGAGAGAAAGAGAACGAAATTAGAGAAACAATCCCGTAAATTACACGACAGAAGGACACAAAAGATATTTCGCGCGTGACCTACAGCTAGTAGAAGAGGAGACAAAGAATAACTCACTTTGTGCTGGAACTGTTCGAAGTTGTGAATGAGTTGTATGTGAGCCCCCCTGTTGCCAGTCATGCGTCTGATGTTCTCCTCCAGCAGTCGCATGGAACAGTGTGCACTGTACCTCTTCACCATCGTCATCAGACGCTGGCCTAGTTAGAACAATCATCACTAATACACATAACATACAGCACATCCTTCAAAATAAACTCAGTTCCCAATTCAGTTTCCAGTTTTCCCAATTCAGTTTCTTAGACCAAACTACATCATTAAAGCTGAAGATAACACAGCAAATCTAGACAATAAGATTTTATCTTTTGCAAAACTTTGCGAATAATTAGATTTCTGATTTCATTTAGATTCCCTAGAGCAGATCTATCTAATTTTCCTTTGGAATATAATGCCGAAAACGACTAAGTTCCACAAACAACAGATTGCCAAAATTGTTTGAAAAAAAAACTGTCTTCTATATAAAAGAAAGATATATGAGACATATCAGTTAATCAAAATTACTCAATGCGCGTCACCTCCTGTGCCCTGTTTGGACTTCAAGCAGCTGTTTTTATTCCCCCCCTCCCCCCGCCAGGAAGGAGCATATGTATTTTGATTACCTGGGAGTGAAGTGTACTTGTCGATGAGGTGTGTGGCCTTCTCGAAGGTGTCCGTGTCTATCTTGTCGTACTGGATGGCCTTCTTCAGGTTGCGGTAGTTCCTCTCAGCATCCATTCTTGTGAACAGAATCGCACTCCTCTGGGCCTCGAACTCCGCCAGTTTGTTCTCGCTCTCTTCCAGACGCTACAAATTCAACAATGTCTTAGTATTAAGATTATCACAATTTTTGGGTAGCTTTTTAGGAAAACCACCCAAATTTCTCCATTCTTGCTTAATAGTTTCCATAGATAATTTTCATATGAAAAGCTTATGCATTATTTCAATCAATGGGAACATTTGAAATAAAAATTTTACTCGAAGAGTACTCTGAAAATGTACTAAGAATCTTTCATACAAAAAATACAATGAGCGACTAGTAACTTGAACAACTGAAAAATTATATAGTAGTAAAATATAGAAAATAGTACTAACAATCATGAGTTGGCGCAGCTGTTCTTTATTGGCTCCGTAATCACTCTCCAGTTTTCTGAAGCAGAAGATAGTCACAATTGACTCATTCAGATTAGTGATGGTTCAAAATTTCATAAGTTTGAGAAATGACTGTCTAGCTCACCCTATTTTATCCTCCAACTCCCGCCTCTGGGACTCGAAGTCTGACTTCCTGAAACAATATTCCAAACATCATCCACACTTTTGTGTCAATACTTCTGCGATAGTTCTGCAACAAGTTTGAATATTGTATACAAACAGAGTTTTTCAAATTAATTGTTCTATTATTCTTCGCTATTTCGTTCGAATATGTCGCGAAGTGACTGGAAGCAACTATGGCGTAGGGTAGTTTTTTTTCACACAAACTTAGGAAGCACGTAAAGTGTCACTTGTGATACTCTGTAAAATACGTTTCAGTCGTGATTTAGATTCCAAAATATAGTCGAGAAAACTTCGAGTCTGAATTATGAATTTTTCTGATTGATTTTTCTAATTTTTTTCTTTATTCAACTACCCCCAGCCAAATTAAGCAAAGAACGTATAATTGAGCAGAAAAATACTTGGTTTCTACAATAAGCTGTTGATCATTTCACAACATCGAAATTTATAACCCATATTGAAAAGGGTGATAATACCTTTTTTGTACAACAAAAACTATTTTGCGAGCGCTCACAAAGCAACCCTATGTTGAAAAACTTTACGCCAAATTATTGAGGGTTCCAAAAAAAATTTTAGGGTTGTCGTCCAAAAATGGAGCTCAAAAACACTATACCCTTAAATGACTCTTTGGTTGGCGTGGGCGTCGAATTTCTGAGGGGGGAAGGGGATCTTCCGCCTCCCCTTTATCCATCCCTGAATATTAGTGGTTTCATTGGCTACATGGTTGATGCACTTTGGTAAACAAAACAAGCTTAAAGTATCAAAAAAATATCAAAAAAGTTTAAACATCAATTAAAATTTAAATTTTTTTTTTACTTTCAGCTATTTTTACGGTGATAAATTTGGTTGATATTTGTGGCAGATAACTGGTTGATATCTATCTTTACTTTTGTTCTATATTGTAAGAAAATTGGATAAGTTTTTAAATGTCTGGATTCTACAATCATCTTCAAAAAAGTTTATTAAAAGGCAAGGCAAGAATTTCCTAATATTTTCGTTTTTCATAAACTTTTAGTAAAGATTGAAACTGAGCCTTTTTTCTTTGTTTCTTTATTTCCGTTCAACGAATGAATAACTCTCAACTATAATTAGAATCATTTAAATAGAGTTAGTTATCACATTTTGCATTACAGAAGTACAAATAGTCGCAAAAACAATTTTAATTTTACGAAAAATATCATAGATAATTTATATTTTTCAAAATTGAGCTCACGGAGTTGTTAATGTTCATTTGATTAAAAAACATCTATCAAAAATGGCTATTCAAAAAGTCGAATTACGGCTGGAAAAAGAGCACTGCACGGGGCCTAGGAAGTTAGACGAAAAACAAATTAGACATGAGCAAAAAAAACTGAATTTAGATGCAAAACTACATTATGGGATTTTAGACGTAATTGTACTTTTAAGGTGTGTGAAATTGGTTTACTAACTACAATTAACTTTCGTTCGAGCTCTTTTAACCATGAATCAGTTTTTCAAGTGTCGCATTTATATCAATTTTATTAATTGTATTAATATATATCAATTATATAATTTGAGCACTTCAAAAATGTTTTATTATATTTGGAATAACGTTTTATGAATCATTTATAAAAAAAACATTTTCAAAGGCAAAGGGGTTATAAACGCCTTTTGAATATGTAAAAGTTTGTTTCAAGCAATATGTTTCATTAGCCCTTTGCTTTTCGTCCACAATCCTAGTTTGGCAAAAACAATTTAACGTCTTAATTCCTTTTTCTTGGAGACGTCTAATTTGCTTGTCGTCTAATTTTCTAGCCCCCCAAAAACACTGCCTTGTTTTGCTTTTAATCAGTAGGCGTAAAAGAAAAAAAAACGTATTAGCACCTTGACAACAATTTAGCGCAATTAACATCAACTACTCTGAATTATTAAATATTTTTTGTTGTTCAATTTTAATTAAAGGTTTTCTAAAGAAAACAAGACAGCTCGTATCAGGGCGAAGCCCTGAATGTTCCGACTGCCTTTTAATGTTTATGGAGCAGTAATAACCCATAAAAAAATTAAAGGTAATAAAATAAAATTAAAACTTTTTTTCTGAAATTTGAAATTTTTTAATGAAAATCATCCCCCCACACGCCATATTAAGTACAAAAGGATAAATTTCGCTCCTTGTAACAGATCATTTATGACAAATAAGCTTCTTTTAACCAATTTGGAACGATTTCTAAGCTGGATTAAATCTCCGCTTACGCGTTAGTAGCGCGAATTATATCGCGCGTTAATTGTCCCAAATTGGCCAAAAGGGCAATCTTTAAACCCACATAACTTTACGAAAAGTGATCACAGGTAAACAATCTTTTCAAATTTAAGCTCAGGACAACAATGGCTTTTGAATTGTATAAAAAAATTTCGTCAAAATGGCTAGGTAAAAAGTCGAAATTTGTCTGAAGAAAAAAAAAACCCACCCCGAGCACAAATATTCCGTTACTTTCGTATCGAAAGTCGGAACAATAATTGTGATCTAGTTGATCAAATTGCCATATTGATTGATGGGGCTAAGTTTTCTAGCAGAGCGATCTTTTAGCAGACTAAAAACAAGTCATAATCTGAGTACTATTTTCAAACGCGGCAAAGGGAAGTAGCGACGGCTTGATCCGCTACAATTACATTCTGCATGATTGATATTGCGGGTGTGAATTAGTGTTAACCATGAATTTATATGATTATCCCGACTTTTCCTGTTTTCGAAATTGATAGTTATGACAAACCATGGGATTATTGACTTAATTAGTGAGACTCAACCCGGAGATTAATAGCTTTTTGAGGTTTGTCAATCAATTCTGCGTCAGTTTTATTGCGTTAGTCTACCAAAATACTTAATTCTTAATTTTTGTCCTGAGAAATTGATCTGCCAAAAAAATTTAGTCCCTTTGTTTGACATATATTTCTAGACTTTTATTGAAGTTAAGACAGCTGATAAACCAATCATCCACTAGAAATTTATTACCATACGAACATTTTGCTCTGCGCGGAGTACCGTTGCTCTGCCCCATATTTAGAAGCACCAAGAAATTTTAGTTAACTTTGTTCTGTGAAACTTATCTGCCCGCTGAGCAAGAAAAGTATTGTTTGAAATAGAAGATTGAACAAAGAAATATAGACATTAAAAATGCCACTGTCTTTGCTAAAAGTATTCTCTTTTAGTTCGTGGATTTTGAATAGCACTTTTGCCCTAAAATTAATTACATTTGTTAATAAAAAAAATATGTTTCATTGTGAAAACAATTAATTTGTGACGATTTCTTTTGAAGGCTGTGTGAATAAAGTGACTTACAGTGCAGCTACTTCGTCCTGCAGTCGTTTCAACTCTGCTCCTCCCGACAGCACTGAGTCGTCCATGTGAGCGTAGAGAGATCTAGGCACGAGGTCTGGCAACTGCTTCTGGAAGTACTGCAGAGTCCTGTGGTCCAATTTGTTCTGGAACAGGATCCGGAGCAGCACTCCCAGAATCTCGCCCAACACTGAAGATGAAGAATGTTTTTTCATCTTCAACAATTTGCTGACGGAAGTTTCTTTTATATGAGGTCTTATAGACTATTGTAGATAAAGACCTTTCAGCGAGGGGAAAAATCAAAATAAGAACAGTTTGTGGACCCCTGATTATGAGCTGCATTCTAGTTTTTTGTCTGCAGGCTGGGAAAAAAGAAGGCTTTATTCTCAAGAAACCACTGAGGGTGAGGGCGTACTTTGAGCTAGCCGTTTTCACTCAACTGCTTGGGAAGAACATTTTTTATAGGCAACGTTATTCAGCCTTTCACTTCTGAAATTTTTGCAGTTTTCGTTTTGCTTAAAAAAGTAAGTAAACATTTTTCAAATAAATTTGGTCAACTTTGACGCGTGATTTTAGAGTTTCCCTTAACATGCAAAACTTCATCGTTAATGACAAGATGTTGAATATACTCTTTTGAATCGATGAACCTGAATGAAGTAAACTACTTCCAGTCTGTGTCTGAGTAAATATGAAACTGCTCAGTTTAATGTCAAAAACCAATATATTTTTACAGTTATTTCAACAAAGTAAAAACAGAAACAAAACAAATGAACCGAAATTACAATAGTTTTTGACAGACTAGAAGACTGGAGGGATTAGGAGGGGAGTGAGAGTTGGAGTTGGAAACGTGCTTACGAATAATGAGTTGCTGTTGCATTTCGGATATCTGCTGGAAACAATTCTCATCCTGGTCGAACGAGATGAATTCTATCTCGTCCAGAATTGTCACCACCGAGTCGACAGCTGCAAACAAACAAACGAAACACTTTCACTAGCATTTTCAATCACTTGAAGACGCTCTGGGATCACGCTGGAATCTCTCTTTAACTATCAAGCAACAGCAAAGATAATTAATTTGATCTTTGTTACCTTTATTTTTGAAGAGGAAGGCCACTGTAGATTTGAACTCGTGAACGAAGTCATAAGCACGCAGGTATTCACTCAGCATCGGATCTGCTTTCCTAAAAAAACAGAAAAACACTTCATTTGACCTTGAACCCAGTTTAGATGCAATGCAGTCCACAAACTTCGAAAGAGGAGAACATTTTACCTAAAAGTATTCTCAATTTGTTGACATATATAAACGAAACAAGAAGTTACGACATTCAAACTTTGTGTCATTACTGCAGCTACCACCTGAGAGAACTAAGATTACTAAACATATACACATAATGAGAAGAGACAGTTTCGCTAAAGTTCAGTTTTAAACGCCAGTTGAAATCAATTTATGGCAGCCGGGAGATCATTTTGCACAAGTGTGGAGACAGTTAGTGTGGCTGTCTTTCTTACTCACTCGATCTCGGACAGATCGAAGAAGGAGTCTACAGTGAAGGGGGTCATGCTTCTGCAATCATCAATAAATACTGCATTAATTTAAACAAAAAGCTTACTAGGATTCTGTTGGAGCAATCAAACCAAAATTTAAACTCAGTCGAATTGAGGCCTGACTTTAAACTTGAATGGCGACCCGGTTGACAGAAAAAGCCAGCCGAGTCATACAATTTGCATACATGTTTTCCCAGATTATTCTATAACTGAGGAAGTTCAGTTCTATTTGTTGATATAATACTTCTATCAAAATATTATATGCTGTCATTCTTGCCGTACCTTTGTATAGTGTATGACTATTATTTTCAACTTCTGAAGCTACTCCCGGGCGACTAAACCGATTGATTACAGAACAATAAAAAGAACAAAAAGTAAAAGGAATAAAACTAAGACAAGTCTAAGCTAATGACACTTGATGATGAAGTTGTATCTGCGCACGAGCACTTACGAATGGTAGCGTCGCATGTTTCGAACCGACTTCATCATTCTACAATATAACATCTATTTACCCAAATAGTTTCTCATGTGCATTAACTGGTAAATTTATCTATATGTTTTTAGGGGGGTGGGAGGTTGGGGCGTTTTTTGATTAACTGGAGCTGTCTCCACGGCTCTGGTTATTTTTGCTCCAGCTTATCTTTTTATACTTTTGTTTCGACCACTGAAAGTAGGGATTGACTTGTCTTCGACTGTGGTTTAATTTTTGTTTTCCAGTTTTTTGTTTTTTAGTTTTATTGTTTTTCAGGAAAAAAATCAGTACCACAAATAATGTATCGAAATGGCTCTACTGATATATCATATCTTTCAGTCGCGATTCGATGGATATTTAAAAATTTCAAAAATATCTCCAGTGTCGTTTGATTTTTAGTCTAATGTGGAGCGCATAAAGCGAGCGAGCAGGCTTATAATAGGAAAATACGCTTATTTTCCTATTATATTTAGGTCTTAAAAATTTAATTTTACCCTAGTAGTATATGGGTTTTTTAAGTCTATTTTAACGCCTTCCTGGGATATAACATTGAAAAGGTCTGAAAATTTTTGATTTTTCTTTACTTTCATTGTTTTTCTTTTCTTTCATCGAAGAAAAAAAATCAATTTGGTCGACCTAAAAATTATTTTTGAATATCTGCCCCCCCCCCCCTCGAGAAAATCTTAGATCCACCCATCCAGGTATTGATTGAGAAATAATAGCTCCGTGTTTTTGAATCATTCAGAAAAGAGTATCTTTTTCTGGGACTCTTCTCGGAATTTTATTGGATGAAGTCCAACTTTTAGACGGGCGAAAATGGACGTGGATTGTTACTTTAGTAACTATGTATAGTTAATAAAGAGTAGTGAATTGGGTAACTCACATCTGTGCCTCTGCGGACCTCTGACTCCTGCGACTGCCTGCCCTCAGTCCATTGATGCCCCTCTTGGCCTCATTGATCACCTCCTCCGTCTGCATCTGCACAACACAACACAACACAAATGAACATCAGGTTGAAACTTCCATTTAACTATTCCCGGGCAGAGTTTTCGCTCGCAATTCAAAAGCATCCATAGGGAGGGTTGAAATTTGTGAAAAAAGGAGAACGTGGGGAAAAAAATGTTTAATCCGAGCAAGATGCAGATTTTTCTAATTTTTTTTGGTTCAATCCACGGATTAATAAATTCCAATCATACGGGGGACTAGCACATGTTTTCCCATTTTCCGCTTTTGTGCTCAATCCACAATAAATTTAGCCGATGCAAATATCCGCTCTATTTCGTCCATGGAACCAACAAAGCTTTCCATTATTTTCAAAAAATTAATGGACCCGATTTACAGTTTCGCTCAAAATCAACTGTAAGATGCGCAGAGTTTTTGTTTCTCCCGCTTTTTTCACAGATTTTCGAACAAAGTATCCAATTCATCTGAAGTGAAAAAATCGGTGACAGGACGAAGTATCCCATACGAAAGTATCCGATCACAATACCAATATAGCCCAATGGTGACAATATAGCCCACGTCAATTAAAATATCCCATAAAGGTATAAAAAATAATTTATGAGATAGATTATCAACAATTGGTCCATCAATATAGCCCACGTCAATTAAAATATCCCATAAAGGTATAAAAATTAATTTATGAGATAGATTATCAACAATTGGTGCATATCTCTACATCGCAATTAAACAAAGATTCAATTCAACTGCCTCAGTTATTTCAAAACGCCATATAGAGATACTGCTAATGGTAAAAGACTCTTTTCTAGGGATTAAGTTTTCTTTTTCAATCTTTTATTGGAGTCATAATTGAGAAAGTTTCGACAATGAAGCACAACGCAAAGATATATCATTACACACATAGCACCAATACATTGAACACCAAAATGGCAGATTTTATCTACGATAACACTCAAAAAGGCAAAGTGTTGCTTATCTTGGATTGACACAAGTTCACTAGGAAGCGAGACACCAAATTTACCACTCACTGGCGTTGTGCTTTCACATAATTGCCTAATGACTCATAAAACTTCGTTCAATTAGGAGCACAGCCATGAGTTTATCACCACTTGCGTAGAAGCCAGGCAGCTAGTTAGTCAAATGAAAGAAACAGCAAAATCGCAAGTCAATCCTGTAAACAACCAGTTCATAGCAGCTAACCTCAAGACTGTGAACGATATAAGGCAATTCAGGTTTCACTTCCTTCATGTGCAGCCCTAACAAGAACCCTCAATGGGAACAAAACGTAAATACCACTCAACGTGATTTCGTCGACCGACCATAACTTCGACATGCCCGACAAAAAATTACCTTTTTGTCTGCATGATAGCGGAAAAGAATACAGTGAATGATTCCATATTCTCGGGGACATGGAAATTTTAAATGCTTTTCGAGTTCATAGCAAAGTTTGGCTTTGTGATGGAACCTTTAAGATATGTCCGTCCCAACTTTTGTCAATTGTACACAGTACATATCCAGATTGGTGGCTTTTATCCAGCCTGCGTTTTCGTTTTGCTTAGCAACAAAAAAGAGACCACTTACAACAGGTTTCTTGAAGCCCTGATTAGCCCCATTGGAGACTTCGTACACAAAAAAAAAGGTCTCATTGACTTCGAACAAGCTGCCTTGAATGCATTTTCGTCCCCTAAAAAAACTGAAATCAAAGGGTGCTGTTTTTATTTATGCCAAAGCTTCCATCGGAAGCTTTTAGAGATAGGTCTGAGAAAAAACCTATGAGTACAATGCTAAGCTAGCCTTAACCTTGAAATTATCCCAGCTTTAAGCTTCGGTCCTCTCTGATGTCGAATCTGCGTTTATTCTCGTCTTAGACGAAATTTGCCAAACTGCCTGAAGTCCTCGAGAAAATTGACAAGCTCGCGTTATTTTTCCAGAAAATTTATGAAAAAGGAGAACCAATTGGTCGGCAACGGCGTGATCCTTTTTCCCCACAGCTTTATGGAATCTTTACGACAACGCGGCGGCAGGTCTAATTCGAACTACCAATGCAGTTGAAGGCTGGCACAACGGCGTCAAGTCGCTTTTCCAGGGCAACAAACCCTCGATTCATACGTTTTTAGAAAAAATTCAGCTCAATTCTTACAACCAAAAGTTCAATATTCTGAAAGCAATCAGCGGTACCACCAATCAAACCCGTAAAAAGTACCAAGAACTCAATGAAAAAGTCCAAATGATAATTAATTCCTACAAAAATTCAGATATAGTAATTTATGTTGAAGCTCCAGCTCATTTGAAACTCTCCTAATTTTCATTTTGTCAAATTGTCGGCATAATTTTCTCAAACTGTTGGCATTTTGAAGCGTTTTTAATTGATTTTATAAAATCTTGAAGTTTTTGGCTTTATAGCCATCGTAGAAGTACCGTTTTTCGGGAGGTGATGGAGGCTAAAAGAACAATAATTTTGAATTTTCCCTCACCCCGCCCACCCTTACCGGTTCCCAGTACAGAGGCAATTTATTGGTTTTGGGGACAATTTTTATCGATTTCGAAATAAAACTTTTGATCCACCATGAATCGATCGTTTGATCTTTTGACCAAGAGTCATATGTTTTAACCATAATGCCAAGTGAGCTTAAGAAGTCATATTTTTATGCTTTGATAGTTCAAAAGATTGATTGATTTAAAACGTGCGTTGAAATTTTCACGCTTTGAGCTGAATTTGTTTTCAGGCGCTTTTCAAAAGTTAGCATTGCTTGGTTCAGTTTGGTCAATTTCGGCAACTTGATTTTAATTTCTTTGATGATTTTCGTAGGCTACTTCGTTCTGAGCTATTCTAACTTCTGGCTTATTTTTGACTGGGTTATTTTCGCAGGGGATAAAAAGGTAAGGGATAATTGGCATGAAACCGAAAAAATCATCTGAAGAGAGAAACACGAACATGTTCGAAAAGAGAAACATCCAGAACATCCATGGTCCGTATTTAAATATCCCTTTGTTCAGACGTTCTTCTACTGAAAAAATGCAATAAAGCGTAATGTTATGCAATTTCTGTTCCAGTAAAAAATTGAGCAGATTAAACAGACTTTTCTCTTAAAATTATCCGTAAAAAACGAGCGGAGTTTGCCAGTAGAATTGAATTAAATCAGATTTTTTTCGGATTATATAAAACTTCGACTCACTGTAAGTCAAAAATAGAGCGATACTTCGCAACAAGCCACAACTACTAACAAAGATAGCCAGTTACCGTAGTCTTAAAATATACAATTCTTTTTTTTTTCAAAAAATGTCGTTTTTTTGCGTGATGTGAAAAAAAATTTGAACTAAAAGTAGAACTAAAAGACTATTGAAAAACAGTTTTTGTAGAAAAATGACAAGAAAAACGAAAAAAAAATATTTAAGAAATTTTTTTCTGCAGATTGTTTTTGGAAGTTTTTGATTCCCAAATTGCCGACAAAAAACTCCAAAAACTAACAATTAACTCAGTTCAATTTGAATACAGTTATGAGTGTGAATTATTTTGCCACGCATAAAAAACTTGTGTTTTGAAACTATTACCTATTAATCGAAAATTGTTCAACCTTATTTGGCCTAGTGGAAGCACACTCGATTGGCAACCCACCCATTTTGGATCACACCCTGCACGCTGTCAAAATTTTTGTAAAATTGATCTCAAAAAAAATTAAACCAGCCCTATCTATTCCTAGTTGCGCTTACATTTGAAACGAGAAGTGTTTCGCAATGAATGAGAAATCGCACTGAAGCTATTTTTACGAATTGTGTCCTTGTTTAAGTTACCGCCTGTTACAAAGCCCTTTTCAAAATGCAAAACAGATGAGATAAGTCAGAAAAATGTCAACAACCCAAGGAGACCCAAAAAATTGATTTGGGAAAACCTTATCAAAATACAATTTTATTCCGCTGGGAAAACTAAAAATTTAAATCCGTTTTGAAACCTTTTCTTCACGCCAATTGAAGTATTTTTGTCATTGGGGAGCATTTGTTGCATTCTATTTTGCAATCTTATTTCGTTCGTAAAAGACTGTTTGTATGTCAGGGCAAAGCCCTGGAAGTTTTGACTGCCCCTAATTCATATCGAATAGTTTTTTGGGAAAAGAAAATATTGAAAAACTATGTAATTTGGACAGTATCAAAGATCATGTGTGAAAAATTACGTCTTATAAAATCATTCGCGCGACCAGCTAGCCTCAGTTCAATTTGAAACAGTTTTGAATTGGGATAATTTGCCACGCATAAAAAATTCGCGTTACGCTTTCAGAAAAATAAGAGAAAATGTTCAAAGTGCGCATCAATTAGTCTAGAGCATGGCCAAATTGGCAATTTTCAAACTCCCAAAACTATGTTAAAAATGATCAAAGGTAAAATGTCTTTTCATGTATGACTCCAGAGAGTGAATATTTTCAACGATGCGAAAAAATAATTTCGTTAAAAACCATTATTTCGACCGGCAAATATTGACTGAATAAAAAATCACACCAAGCGTAATTAATTCAATTTCTTCGCAAGACCGAATAACAAGACTGCTCGTATATCAGGGCTAAGCCTCGAAGGATCTGACTGCCCTTAAATTTGTCTCAAACAGTTTTTGGGAAAAGAAAATATTGAAAAACTAGAAATTTGGACGATATCGAAGACCAAAAAAAAAGAAAACATTTAGAAAAATTTTTATTATTTTTTTGAAATTCATCCACCCATACGCTATCTTAAGTACAAAAATATATATTTCGCATAAAAAAGTATTAAACAGACCAAAGAGCTTGCCTCATTTCAATTTGGAGCTATTTCTATTACTGATTAAATCTCCGCTTACGCGTTTTTTGGGCATGAAATATATCGCGCGTTAACTGTCCCAAATTGGCCAAATTGACAAACTTTAAGCCCCCATAAATGTACGAAAAATGATCATAGGTGAAATTTGAATTTGAGCCCAAGATATTAGTACCTTCCGAATGATAAAAAAAATTCCATCGAAAAATGCTAGTTAAAAAAACGAAAATTGTCTGGAGAAAAAAACCACCCCGAGCACAAACATTTTGTGACTTTCTTCAAAAATCGGAACAAACACATCAAAAATTGATCAACACCACCCTGTTGCTACGTTAATTTACACTTAAAATGAGAATTGTTATGGATGAATTAAATGAACTCGATGAAAGCGATGAAGTGAACTGACGGCGAAGTTGGCGTCTCCGGGTCCCTCGTTCAACTGCTGTCTGAGTGCCTCCTGTGCATAGGGGGAGAGGGTTTTCATGTACTGGTCCTGCATGTCCTCATCCAACTTGCGGAAGTGTCTCGCCTCCAGTCGAGTGTAGTCCCGCATCTTGTGCTGCAACAAGGAAGCAATAAGGGTTCAATAATTCAGTTTGCACTGAAAGACAAGACAGTAGCAACGCATTTACTCACTGCAGAAGAACAGTTAACCTAACACTCTTGCAGCCATTGTTATGACTGAGAGTGCAACTGTGTTCACATATACTTTTTGCATAGTTGCAGCTTGAAGTTTGTTCTATACTTTCTAGGAAAGACCTGTGAGGACCTATTTGGATGTTGTAATGACACTTGATGCATATATTATGTATGTGCTGTGCCTACCAGCTTCTCCATGTCGTGCAGGAATGTCTCTAGCTGGTGGAGTGTCTGTTCAGCCTCTGCCTCCGCCTCCTTGCGCCCACTCTCGCTCCTCTCCGCCTGCTCCATCAGCAGCTGCCGCTCCTGCCAAGCAAACACCACACAGTCACCACAATCACCACTAACAACACTAACAGGGCCGTCCAAAAATCACCTGTTTTCTGTATAAAATAGAGCTCAGTAGTAGATTTAGAAAGAGGGCGGGGGGCGTTTTTTCGGCCTTTTTGAAAAATTTGCTTGTGACGCAAGAAACCTAGCCAAAACTAGCCCATCCATCCCCCCCCCCCCCGCCTCGCGAACGGTTTGTGAATATAATGTTCAAAGATCTGATCTTGATAAAAACAAATGTCAATCCTCGGTACCTAGGAATGACACTTGATTGTATGTTTGTTTGTGTTTATTAAATGTCTTTGAAAGTGGTCAAATAGACTGACTGCATTCCACTGTTTCTCCATCTGGTAGAACTTCTCCGACAGCTGCTTCTCCAACTCCTTATTCGACTCCACCTTCTCCTCCAGCTGAGTGATGTGGGTAATGGCCTAAGAGAAGCAAAGGACAGGGGGTCAAGTCACCTCAACTCATCCCAAGTCAGTTGAGGTCACAGTTAAGGTCACTTTAATCAGAACAAACGATCGATAGAAAAAATGAGCCAATACACTGCTGTACTGTTATGACGTTCATAATTTAACATTTCTTTTGAAATTATTAAAAAATAAAACAAAAATAGTTTTAAAATGAATAAATGGAAACAAATTTGACTTATGTTGCACGAAGCGACTTATTTAATGTTTTTTTTTTGCTTCAAATACTTAATGCGTTTGAGTTAAAAACCATTATGTTTTTGAAAAGAACTTGTGTTTTGACAGATTTGTGATTTTAACATACTTTCACCTGTTTGAATTGCAAGCGCTATTCTTTAATTTTTGATGATCACAGACTTTCATTGTCCACCGTCTTTTTTAAAATTTAAATCTCAGAAAATAAAATGTAAGCCAACTGCCGATAACGTAGTACATAATGTTACGACAATAGTTTCATGCTTAAAAAATATGAAAAAAAATGTTGAGAATTGAAATCATATTTTTTCTTGTTTTCTTGAGTCTTCAGAGGACTTAAATATATCATCTTCGAGAATTCAAAAACATAGATTGAAGTAATTTACGTCAAAAATACTTTTAAAATCAGATTAATATTGGAGCCATAAGATATTAGCCTGAAACAGTTGACCTAGTGTGCAAGACCAATGTTTTTGCAATTCGGATCTCGACTGAAAGACTGCAACATGATGACAGCCCACTTCACCCCTACGAGTGTTATTTGAGTTACTTAGACTCGAGTATAAAAAATCCATCCTACGCCATAGTTACTTCTCACATCGCGAGATGGAGAAAACTTCTGACCACAAATTGGATTAGAATTAAAGAATTTTTAGAACATCAAAGTTTTATTTATACATTTTGCAAAGATTTTCTGGCCAGAATTTGGGATCGGAAATTAGATATTTGTTGACAAAGTTTTTGAAAAAATGTAGGTAGGGGACTGTAGTCATAGCAGATACTAATCGCAAGCCATTTCTGTAGTCAACATACCAACAACTTCTCATCCAAATGGAACCTGATCTAAACTACATTTTATGATTGGATAAATTAGATATTTTACCACTGTAAAGTATTTAATATTAACCAATCATGATCCATCTAACTAACAACCCACTTATTTGTAAGTGCTGAAATTACTTGTAATTTCAGCACCAGAGAGATTTGAATTTAACTTAGAAATTAGTTGACTCTCCAAGAAGACTTCAGCAACCGCAATAAACCAGTATACCCTAGATCTATTGAGCCTAGCAGAGACTAGTTAAACAACCTGAGACTAGATAGTATAAGAGTAAGATTAGGATTGGTATTAGACTAAGAAGTTGCACGAATCTATCCGGCCGAAAATAAGATAGCGTGACGAGCAGACGGTGTACCCTATCCGAAATTACTCTATGAGTTATACACTTCGGTCCTAACTCATCTGGTGCGACCATAAGTCTCGAACAAGACCTTAATAGCTTAGAATTAACCAAAAATAGATTAGAATTTAGACAAAACATTTTTTAAAATGTTACACGACGATAATTTAATCGAAATGTCTCTACGACTAAATAGATCAAAGCCAATATTCCGAACGATAAGAGAACTACCCGGAATTGCAAGAAGACCTCGAACCAGAGACGACATACGACAAAGTAGAAACTTACCATATAGTTATATGATAGTTCGGCAAAAGCCAACACAAACTTTTGTATTTAGAATACTACTAGCAATGAATTTAGATTTTCATGTGCAAACATAAAATCTTGAAGTCAATCTTCAAAATCATTTCAGGCGCTAAACCAAATTATTAATATACAATAACGATTGATAAGGAGATCTCAGATCGTTTCCCTAAATTCTGCAGTAATATACAAAACATGTTTGAAAAATATTTATTGAAAAATCAAAATAAAAATTAGTAGCATGACAATAAATGGTTAGTAATTATAAATCATCCTGTTGTTCCAGCTTCATCACCTAAACATAACAGCATTCATAAGCTCACTAATATCATAAAAACACTAAATCTTTTCTCTACACAAATTTAAATCATTTTAAACTTAAATTCACTTAAATTTAAAATCAGATCATCAAGGCTCATCCTTGGATCTTAAATCATTTTCTATTTAATTAAATTTAAAACTTGATCATCAAGGCCTCTCCTTGGATCAAAAAGAACAATTTTGTTCTCCCCCACCCACTTAGCTAGTGTCTAACGACCTCAAACGTCGATTCACTACCCAACCCTTTCTAAAAACCCAGGACTAACAGAAATTTTTGAACAAAACTAATCATTCAAATTAGGATAAACAGTGAAGAACTTCGGTTATTCATCCTTCACTTGATCCCCCCTCTTACCAGACCCAGGATAAATCTTAGACTTAGTAAGTTTAAAACAGTATCTAACGAACTACTCGCGTTCTAATTATACCTGAACCTTGTGGATCGATTTACTATTCTCCAACCCTGAACACAATCACTACCCTTAAGTAAGATTAAGTAAGTTAACACCTTAGCTTATACTAGCCACGAGAAAGTATAAAATCATTCTTCGGAATCGATATACTTTTCTCCCCAACCCTGAACAAATAGACCCAGCTTAGGCTAACCAAAAAATCGTAAGGACTAACAGTCTAAGTAGTAGAAATCATTTAACAACCTTTTGCATCCGTCATCCTAAACCTTATGTCATTTAAAAACCTAGGAAATAAACAAACAATCGTTTTACACAATTGTGAAATAGATAACAAAAAATACGATCTTGTAATCACACCACACACACAAACAGTTGGATATATCAGAACAAAACGACAAACACTAAAAAGAAAAATAATAACCAAACAAAGACAAATTACACGAAAAAGATTTTCCGAAAACCGCAACGCATTTTCAGAATCAGAAACCAGCAGTTTAGACGAACTTTATAAATTAAAAGAATCTATAGATAAAAATTGCCCCATTCACGATCAATTGCCCCATTCCGACTCAGAAACAACTTCAAATTCATCAAAAAGAGGAAAAAGAAGAATAAAAAAGCAATATAAACACAAACCAGTACATTTATACAATTGGAATCAACCAATTAGACACATTGATAATTACATATTAACAGTCATCAAACGAAAAAATGAGCTCAACACACACCCCAGGTGAAGAAAGTCCAGATGATGATGATATCTTCCCCTTCATCGTAGATGCAACCACTGATAGAGGACAGCATATATTTTGCAAAAATTTACTCTTAAATTTGTTTGAACCCGGAATCAGTCCATGTAAAACAGAGTTCCCAGATGTAAAAATCAAAAGACAAATTATCGATCACTATTTGAAAGATATATGTAACCTTACACAACAATACGGAATCTACTCCATAGAATTCAACTCACCAAACCAGAATCACAGCAAATATGTAATTCAAACAGACGACCTTGATTTAGAATTCTCAAAAGTATTCTCAGAATATATAAAAAGCATACAATATCATAACTCACAAAGAGCAAACTCCATATTCACTAATGAAGTTTTTGCAATAATATATAGTTATATCTCGATATTAGAAAACGAAATCCCAATCACAAATGTTTCACCGACAGAAACATCTAAACATATAAGAGTACGACATGAAATCACACTACTCTCTAGTTTTCTAAATATAATTAAAGAAAATTTCACGAAAGATGAAGTTTCACAACATACAAAACACGACTTACAAAAAATTTTGGCATGGTTCATAATAGATTATTTCACACATAATATTGATTTAATTTCACAAGCAAGAAAAAATTTTAGACCCCAAAACTCAAACGATGATACTGCCATCATAGAACAATCAGACTATGTTTGGGACCCCGAATGGTCTCATCCCGCATTCATAAACTTCCCACAATCAATCTCAAGTCAAGCAATAAGTACGATATCTTATGTAAGAGATTATGTAAGAGTAATACCATTAACCATTGATGCAACACCATTAAACTATAATACATTTTTACCTGATATGCAAAATAATAGTTTAAACTCCACAGTCATACACAATGAAAACCTCAATGGAACTAGAAATCTCACTCAACAAGATATCCAGACACCATCACACTTCATAAATGAAGAAATCGTACACACAACAACTACACAACAAAGTATTTCACCAATACGTCCAAATTTAACAACACCAAGAAATACAAACCCTTCACAAACACAAGTAACCTTACAATCAACCGTTAAACCTTCGGTTGCCCCAAAATATTCACACATGGATTACCAAACATACAGACCCATGACAATACCGTCAAAAACACGTAAAACATTCACTAGAAACAATTTTGCAGAACATAATTATAATTACACACATCCATCAAAATCAAATTATCCCCCACGAAAAAATTTTAATAATTATACAAGATCTCGAAACTGGGATAACCCAATGGCACAAACTAATTCAGTAAACTTTCAAACAAATTTACATCCTTCACAGGATCGTAGTGAAAACTATCCATTTTTTCAACAAAATAAAAATAAAAAACAAACATCTTATCAAATGGATTACTTATCCTCAGATGATGATTTTTTACAACCAGATATATTTGCACCGTATAATCAAGAATATCGTGGAAAAGGAGTACAGAAACCACATACAAATCATAGAATTTTTTCTCCACAACCGATAGATACACAAAATCAACAACCAATTCAGCAACAAAACCCAATTAATACACAATATTATCAACCAATTCAGCAACAAAACCCAATGATCACACACTCGTATCAACCGACACAAATGCAAAATGAAATACCACTCCCATATTATCTTCAACAACACGAAATAACAAGAAATCAACTTTCAAATTTTTCTCAAATGCCAAATGCAGCAGAATCATTACAAATGACAATGAATCCATACCTTATGGGTGGATCATCAATAACATCAATAAAAACTTTAATGGTATTCACAGGAACAGACC